TGGCCCCAGAAATATTCTTATTAAATATCCTACCTGATAATATACAATATAATGATGCACGTTTAATTTTATACATCCTCACAAGCGCCAGAATTGCCATAGCAAAATGCTGGAAATCAGACAAAATTCCAAGCAGAGAAGAATTAATTGCAAATATCTTAGATATTAAAGAAATGGATAAAACAAATATGTTGCTAGCGGGGAAAATGGATAGTGTTTAAGAAAAGATGGCAAAAATTAGACAACTGGTTAAAAATGTATGGTTAAAAAGCTCCAAAAGTATTGTAAAATGGAAATATGAAATGCTATCTATGTTATATACTGAAAACCAATAAAAAATACTTATAAAAAAAAAAAAAGAAACTATGAACTCCAGACCTATACCCAAAGAATGTTGTTTTCTTGTCTGCTAACATCAGCTAGGAGGATACTCTAACCTACAAGGGAAAGTCGTACTATTCAATAGGCTTTCATTAGTAAAGGTAAAGGTTTCCCTTGCTCGAAAGCCAGTCGAGTCCGACTCTAGGGCTGTGGTGCTCATCTCCGTTTCAAAGCCGAAGAGCCAGCGCTGTCTGAAGACGTTTCTGTGGTCATGTGGCTGGCATGACTAAACACCAAGGCGCACAGAATGCTGTTCCCTTCCCACCGAAGTGGTACCTATTTATCTACTTGCAGTGTCTTGCTTTCGAGCTGCTAGCTTTCATTAAAGGTAAAGGTAGAAGTTTCCCTTGCTCGAAAGCCAATCGAGTCCGACTCTAGGGTTGCGGTGCTCATCTCCGTTTCCAAGCCGAAGAGCCAGCGCTGTCTGAAGATGTTTCCGTGGTCACGTGGCCAGCATGACTAAACACCAAGGCGCACGGAACGCTGTTCCCTTCCCACCGAAGTGGTACCTATTTATCTACTTGCAATTTCTTGCTTTCGAACTGCTAGGTTGGCAGGAGCTTGTTGTCCTCTGAAGTTGGCTCAATTTCATGTTTGTTGCATCTGTGACACTGTCTAACCCTCTCATCCTTTGCTGTCCCCATCTTCTTTGATCGTCAATCTTTCCCAGCATCAGGGTCCTCTCCAGTGAGTGCTCCCAGTGAGTGCTCCCTTCTCATTGCAAGTTTATTATTGTCTATTTACTGTAATTTGTGAACCTTGCAGCAATTTCTTATCTGTCCATGTTTGTTGTATGAATTGCTGGTCCCCTTATTGTGCCAGTGCCATATTTTGGGGGGCCCTAGGCAGACAGTGGCTCAAGTGGTTAAGACGCTGAACTGCAGGCTGTGGAAGGTCGGTAGTTCAGCAGTTCGAGACCCAAGTGTGCCGCATGACGGAGTGAGCTCCCATCTCTAGTTCCAGCTCCTGCCAACCTAGCAGTTCGAAAGCAAGGAATTGCAAGCAGATAAATAGGGACCACTTCGGTGGGAAGGGAACAGCGTTCCGTGAGCCTTGGTGTTTAGTCATGCCGGCCACATGACCACGGAAACGTCTTCGTACAGCGCTGGCTCTTCGGCTTTGAAACGGAGATGAGCACCGCAACCCTAGAGTCGGACTCAACTGGTTTTCGAGCAAGGGAAACCTTTACCTTTTTTTTAGGCAGACTGTGCCCAGGGCCCCCTTCTGCCCACTATCGGGCTCATCCTCGTGCTCCCCCCCCCGTCCACCTGCGCGTGTTCTCGCCTTCCCACAAGCCCTCTCACCACCTGCGCTCCCAGCGACCTGCGTCACATTCATGCCCATTTCCCCAGCAGCGCCAGCTACGGCACGCAACCGCTGTGGCCATCAAGGACAGTTATCACTGTGCAATACCTCTGCACAGTTCCCCATCAACGCTGGGAGCATGGGTGGTGCAGCGCTTGCAAGCAAATGGGCACAGAAAGGCACACAGGCAGGTGGCAGGGTAGGTGATCAGGAAGGCTCCCAGAGCCAGTTTGGTGTAGTGGCTAAGTGTGCGGACTCTAATCTGGGAGAACCGGGTTTGATTCCCCACTCCTCCACTTGCACCTGCTGGTGTGACCTTGGGTCAGTCACAAGTTCTCTCAGAGCTGTTCTCCCAAGGGCATAGAGTCATAGAATCGTAGAGTGGGAAGGGACTTCCAGGGCCATCTAGTCCAACCCCCTGCGCGAGGCAGGAAATTCACAAATACCTCCCCCTCCACACCCCCAGTGACCCCTGTTCCATGCCCAGAAGAAGACACAAAACCTCCAGGTTCTCCAGCCAAACCGGCCTGGAGAATAATTGCTTCCTGACCCCAAAGTGGTGATCGGCATTTCTCTGGGTTTGTAAGAAAGGGCCACGAGAACTAAGTTCCTGAGAGAGCTCTCTCAGCCCCGCCTACCTCACAGGGTGTCTGTTGTGGGGAGGGGGAGGGAAAGGAGATTGTAAGGTGCTCTGAGACTCCTTTGGGTAGTGAAGGGCGGGGTATAAATCCAATCTCTTCTTCTTCTTTTACCTCACAGGGTGTCTGTCGTGAGGAGGGGAAGGGAAAGGAGGTTGTAAACCATTCTGAGACACCCTTGGGTAGTGAAGGGCGGGGTATAAATCCAATCTCTTCTTCTTCTTCTCTAATCTGGGAGAACCGGGTTTGATTCCCCAGTCCTCCACTTGCAGCTGCTGGATGACCTTGGGCAAGCCACAGTTCCGTCAGAGCTGTTCTCTCAAGAGCAGTCCTGGAAAGATCTCTCTCAGCCCCGCCTACCTCACAGGGTCTCTTGTGGGGAGGGGGAGAGAAAGGCGATTGTAAGCTGCTCTGAGACTCCTTTGGGTAGTGAAGGGCAGGGTATAAATCCAATCTCCTCCTCCTCTTCTTCCTCCTCCTCCTCCTCCTCCTCTTCTTCCTCCTCCTCCTCCTATTTTTCCTTTCTGCAAACTGTGCAAAACTGAATTTGTCAAGAGGGCTTTTCTTGCCTTGACCTGGATAGCCCAGGCTAGCCCGATCTCATCAGATCTCGGAAGCTGAGCAGGGCTGACCCTGGCAAGTATTTGGAAGGGAGACCTCCAAGGAATACCAGGGCTCAGATCACGGAGGCAGGCTATGAACCCAGCTCTCTGGAAACATCCAAACCCCACTAGGAGTGGCCAGGACTTCCAGGCATGCAAGCGCATACACACACACACACACACACAAATACCCACACAAAAAAAGACTCGCACTGCACAAAATGATTCACAGAGTTGCTTGGAAAAGGGGCTGCGGTCTGTACGGCTGCATACAGCTTGCTGAAACTAGGATCCTGCTATGGAACTTTTTTATCATCTAGGCCCCATTCACAGGGAGAAGTTGCCACGCCGAAGATACAAATATCAGGCGGATTTTTGGTGCGCGATCACACTGCAACATCTGGGAAGCATAGTGCACCTGTGATGGCCAACCCGTGGCATCCTGCCGAAGACGCGCAGTAAAAAACTACTGCGGAAAGTGCACTAGTATCCGGGAAACGCAGGTCAGGGGCGGGCGTCTGATCGCGGGAGCATTAGTATTCCGCGGCATCCAGCGCCCGTCCACGTCCCGTCGCAAACTGGATGTTTTCCGTAAGCACATGCGCACAAACACATAACAAAGCAATGCTGCTCCGTGGAACGGCGCATGCGCACAAACACGAAACGCTTGCCGCGCCGCTTCATTGCCATGCTCTAGCCTCGCCGTGTGATCGCCAGCTAACAGCCTAAGTGCGAAGCCTCGGGGGACCGTGTGATCGGGCTACCGTGCTTTATCTTGCTCCGGGGCGAACAGACACGCCTCCCCCCCCCCCACGTTATCTGGCCCATGTGACCGGGGCCTTCATGTATCTTGGCAAGACTCCCGCTTTGCTTCACTTCTGGGTTGTTTTTTTAAAAACTTCTGGTTGATTCTACAACCCTAACCCTATTGTATTGTCTACTGGACGTCCATTCCCGTTGTTTGTGGTGACTCGCTCTGTGGAACCCGCCTTGAGTCCCCGTGTGAAAGTTAATGCAAATAAATAGAGATAATGTACAAATTCATTTTTCCTACGTTTCTGGGAGCCCCCCCCCAAGTACATAGAAGCCTCTGACTTACCTGTGGGTGACCCCACTGTGTTTCCAACCCCCCCCCAAATATAGTCGGCACCAACGCTCCCTCTAAGCTGTGGAGTCTTGTGAGCAGCAATTCTACTTTGTGAGCTACTTGACATTAAAGTTGTGAGCGAGCGATTTGGCTGCTGCATCAATTCGTTTGCTCTGGAGCAGTGTTCCCTCTAAGCCGAGTTAGTGTGAGCTAGCTCACCGTTTTTTAGCCTCCGGCTCATGCATTTTTGTCTTCGCTCAGGAAGGGTGGCTCCAGAGCAAACTGACTGACGCAGCGGCCAATTTCCTCGCTCACACCTTTAACGCCAGTCGCTCACAAAGTAGAATTCTTGCTCACAAGACTCCACAGCTTAGAGGGAGCGTCGCTCCGAAGTTATCCTTCCTGGGCTAAGACAAAAACGTGTGAGCTGGAGGCTACAAAACTGTGAGCTGGCTCACACTAACTCTGCTTAGAGGGAGCACTGCTTGGCACCATTGTGTGTGTGTTGGTGTGTGTGTTTTGTGTGCTTGCCTGGAAGTCATGGTTCACTTATAACGACCCCTACTAGGGGCTTGGACATTTTCCCAGAGGGGTGGCTTGATATTACCTGCCTCTGTGATCTGAGCCCTGGTATTCCTTGGAGGTCTCTCATCCGAGTACTCGCCAGGGTCGGCCCTGCTCACCTTCCGAGATCTGACGAGATCGGGCTTGCCCGGGCTATCCAGGTCAGGGCCGTAGTGAAGCTCCTGTGGCTATGGCGGATGGTGCTGCCCAAGCAACATTTTTTTTAAAAAAAATCTGCACCACTAATCAAATCTCCAGTGGCCAATCAGAAGCCTTGCTGGGTCAGAGCCCCATCTGGGCCTGCCCACTTTTAAAAAAAACCACTTGGCAGGCTCCGGAAAAGGCACGGGAGGGCACCGCGTTGGGAACCCCTGCTCTGTCGTACCTGGACGCCACGTCGCTGACTCACTTTCTCTTTCCCAGATACTATTTCCGAAACTGGCACGGGATGAACGAGAAGGAGCCGGCCGTCTGCCGCAGCATCCCTCGCCTGAGCGACGTGGAGGACAAGAGGGGGGACCAAGGCAGCGCCCTGCTGGATAAGTCGTCCTTCGAGTACCTCTTTGAGCAGGTACGCCGCTTTGTTGACGTCGGCCCGTTCAGGCTTGGCCCGCTCCGTGTCTCAGCCGCTGCGTCTTCCGGGGCTGTTCGTTGCTTTGGATTCTGAACATAAGAACATAAGAGACGCCAATGTTGGATCAGGCCAAAGGCACATCCAGTCCAACACTCTGTGTCACACAGGGGCCAGAAATACCAGGTGCCCTCAGGAGGTCCACCAGTGGGGCCAGGACACCAGAAGCCCTCCCACTGTTGCCCCCCCCAAGCACCAAGAAGACAGAGTATCCCTTGCCCCAGAGTCTATACCTTGTGGCTAAATAAGAACATAAGAGAAGCCAATGTTGGATCAGGCCAAAGGCCCATCTAGTCCAACACTCTGTATCACACAGTGGCCAGAAATACCAGGTGCCCTCGGGTGGTCCAGCAGTGGGGCCAGGACACTAGAAGCCCTCCCACTGTTGACCCCCCCCCCAAGCACCAAGATGACAGAGCATCCCTTGCCCCAGAGCCCCTGTCTATACCTTGTGGCTAATAGCCACTGATGGACCTCTGCTCCATATGCTTATCTAATTCCCTTTTGAAGCCGTCCATGCTTGTAGCCGCCACCACTTCCTGTGGCAGTGAATTCCAAGTGTTAATCACTCTTTGGGTGAAGAAGTACTTCCTTTTATCTGTTCTAACCCGACCGCTCAGCAATTTCATGGAGTGCCCACGAGTTCTTGTATTGTGAGAAAGGGAGAAAAGTACCTCTTTCTCTACCTGCTCTTTCCCATGCATAATCTTATAAACCTCAATCATGTCACCCCTCAGTCGCAATGCATGGCTAGGAATAAATACAGTGAAGCAACATGTTGAATACCGGCAAACAGATTGATGACTTACTGAACCAGTCCTCGAAAAATCGTCCCTGCTTGTGATCAGTGAACAGAGCATGAGCCAAACTGGCAGGTGTTCATATGTCCCTAGCCAGGAGTAAGCTACGATGTCCATGTTTGTACAGAATGCAGAACCGTATTTAAGACTAACTGTGGTTAACAAAACAAAGTATGAATCCAGTGGCACCTTTAAGACCAACAAAGTTTACTTCTGGGTATAGGCTTCCCTGTGCACGCACGCTTCTTCAGATAAACCAACTTCAAACATGGTTTCAGATTTTGGTTTTATATTCCCTGACAAACCAACACAACAACAGTGAGTGGCCAGGCCCCCCCGTTCTCCTAACCAGGGTAGGCAGTACAGCCCACAGCTGGCCTCAGGCCGTGAGACAGCAGACGGCGTTCATCCCTGCATGGAAAACCAGGGATCTGGACCTTTCCTGTATGCAGCTAGATTCAAGCCCAGTAGACCAGCAATATTCCCGGGGTATTAGCTTCGGAAAGTCAAAGCTCCCTTCGTCAGACAGAAGTCGGATTAGAGATCCTGGAGTCCTTGTATCCCAGTCTGAAGACAGGAGGGGTGTTGAAAAGAAGGGACTCGGGATGCAGAGGCGATTCTAAGAACATAAGAACATAAGAGACGCCAATGTTGGATCTGGCCAAAGGCCCCTCCAGTCCAACACTCTGTATCACACAGTGGCCAAAAATACCAGGTGCTCTCAGGAGGTCCACCAGTGGGGCTAGAACTCCAGAAGCCCTCCCACTGTTGCCCCCCCCCCAAGCACCAAGAAGACAGAGCATCACTTGCACCAGACCGAGAGTTCCCTTCGTCAGACAGAAGTCGGAATGGAGATCCTGGAGTCCCTTCTATCCCAGTCTGGAGACAGGAGGGGTGTTGAAAAGAAGGGACTCGGGATGCAGAGGGGATTCCGTTTTGCGTTGTGCCTCTGCATCCTGACTTCTTTGCACTGTGCCTCTGCATCCTCCTTTGCCACACCCCCTCCCCCTTTCGGACTGGGGAATGAGGACTCGGGGATCTCCATTCCAGCTTGCATCTGACGAAGGGAGGGGTGCTGCAACGCAAGGAGCCAGGCCGCAGAGGCCATTCAGTTGCCTTGGAGGTACAGTAACTTTATGCAGTGTCCCCGATCGGCCACATTTCCCGGTTAAGGGAAGAGGCTGTTCAGACAAATTACAAAGATGGTCTGACTTCGATGGTAACTAGAGAAAGAAATTTTACTTATAGAAATAGAAGCGCATCTCGCATGACATGTTCGTGTAGGTACATTTAACTTATTGTGAACTTCAAAACAGGTTGACAGAGAGAGAGACAGAGAGTGAGAGAGAGAGAGTCTTATTTATTTACTATTTATTTATCTACGTCATTGATATCACGCCTTCCCCCCCAGTGGAGACCCAAAGCATCTTATGTCACCCTCCATGTTATCCTCACCACAACCCCGTGAGGAAGGTCAGGCTGCAAGGGTGTGACTGGCCCAAGGCCACCCAGCAGGCTTCCATGGCAAATCGGGGGATTTGAACCCGGGCCTCCCAGATTCTTGTCAGAGGCTCTGACCACTACACCCCGATAGCGCTCCCGTCCATGCTTTCCATAGGCCTGTCCAAGAAGGTCAGGAAGCCCCCACACTCCCCCCCCCCCCCCGGCTTTCTGCAAACTGTACAGGGCGGAATTATTCAAGAGGGCTTTTCTGCAGAGGTCACAGGGCTGCACTGTACAAAACAGATCAACAAACCTACTTGGATAAACAATAAGGGACCGTACTGTCGTGTATAACTTACTGTAGGTAGGATTCTGTCGCGTAATTTTTGTCCTGCTTAATGTGTCACTATCAAGACATATACCATTCTTAGAACTGACGCTTTCTGGTTGGTTCCAGACTTTTAAAACCCTACCCATTGGTTACTCGATGCCCCATCTTGTCAATTGTACTGACTCACTTTATGGTCAGGGACGTACATAGCTGAAGGACCTCCTTTCCCCATATGTTCCCCAGAAAGCACTGCGATTAGGGTCACAACATCGATTGTCCCTCCCCTGTCCTAAGGAAGCCAGGCTGGCTATTACCAGGGCCAGGGCCTTCTCGGTGGCGGCTCCCTTCTGGTGGAACGAGCTCCTGGAGGAGATCAGGGCCCTGCGGGACCTGATGCAGTTCCGCAGGGCCTGCAAGACGGAGCTCTTCCGCCACTCCTCCACTTGCACCTGGCTGGATGACCTTGGGCAAGCCGTAGTTCTGATAAGAGCTGTCCTTGAAAAAGGGCAGTTTCTTTCAGAGCTCTCTCAGCCCCACCTACCTCACAGGGTGTCTGTTGCGGGGAGAGGAAGGGAAAGGAGTTTGTAGGCCGCCCTGAGACACCTTTGGGTAGTGAAGGGCGGGGTATAAATCCAATCTCTTCATATCTTCTTATGCAGTTCCGCAGGGCCTGCAAGACGGAGCTCTTCCGCCAGGCCTTTAATTAGGAGCCGCCCCCGATAGGGAACCCTGTCCCCTGAAGCCACAAGAACAGCCTGTGCCAGCCGCACCAAGATTAGATCAGTGGGCTGACCACTACGATGTAAGACTGAAGGTCGACCGCCATCATTTAATAATCTGTTACTGTTATTAGTTGCTACCACTTTCAAATGTTGATACGTTTTATCTGATTTTAGGACTATTTAAATTGATGTGTATGTTTTATTCTGTTTGTAAGATGCCCTGAGCCGCTCTTGGCTGGGAGGGTGGGATGTAAATCTAAATAAGTAAATAATCTGCCTCGAGTCCCCATGAAGAAAGGTAAAAGGTCAAGGTTCCCCTTGCTCGAAAGCCAGTCGAGTTCGACTCTAGGGTTGCGGCGCTCATCTCCGTTTCAAGGCCGAAGAGCCAGCGCTGTCCGAAGACGTTCCCGTGGTCATGTGGCCGGCATGACTAAACACCAAGGCGCACGGAACACTGTTACCTTCCCCACCGAAGCGGTACCTATTTATCTACTTGCCATTTCTTGCTCTCGAACTGCTAGGTTGGCAGGAGCTGGAAATGTTTATTAAGGTGTACACATGTTAAAACATACTATGGTTAAGTGAAAGAGTCTAAATTTCAAACTTTAAAAACTTTTCTAATACAAATACACTTGACGGGTAAACACTTTTTAACTTAGGACCAAACTCGTTTCGGCCCCTTCGGGCGTTCCTCAGTGGTCACTGTTCTCTATATTACACTGTAAAGGTAAAGGTGAAGGTTTCCCTTGCTCGAAAGCCAGTCGAGTCTGACTCTAGGGTTGCGGTGCTCATCTCCGTTTCAACGCCGAAGAGCCAGCGCTGTCCGAAAGATTTAAAGGGGGGGGGGGAGGAAGCCATGGCATTATACTATTGCTCATTATACTATTTCTTTCAACAATTTCAGACTACAACATCTGGTTATATATAATATACATATACAAAAACCTTTTACATGTGTATTTTGGATGTGTGTCAGTGTAATATAGAGAACAATGATCACTGAGGAAGGCCCAAACGGGCCGAAACGCGTTTGATCCTAAGTTAAAAAGTGTTTACCCGTCAAGTGTATTTGTATTAGAATTTTTTTTTAAGTCTGGAATTTAGACTCTTTCTTTTAACCATAGTATGTTCTAACATGTGTACACCTTAATAAACATTTGTAATTTTGTATAATATAGTGTTAGCTTGACCCTCTTAGTTCACAGATATATCTTGGGTTGAGTCCCCCCCCTTTCCCCCCCAGTTTTTGGCAGGACCTGGGGCCAGAGACGGGCGCTCACTCCGTCACGCGGCACTCGGGTCTCGAACTGCCGCACTACCGACCTTCCGGTCTGCAGTTCAGCATCTTAACCACTTCAGCCACCGCAGCTCCTATCCATGAAGAAAGGCAGACTATAAACAATGTAGAGGAATAAATGCGTGATCCCAGGCGGTATCCCTGGCACGCTTTCTTAGTCCGAGGCAGCTAGCTGCCCAGGCACAGCCATCTGGCCAGGACCGGGGAAATTCTGAGACCATTACGCTTGGGAACGTCCCTTCCTTCAAGGCTGATCCCTTTTCTCTTCCTCCCAGGGAAAATATGACTTCGTCAACGACGTCGCCTCTCTGAAAGACCTCCACAGCGAGCCGGAAGTCCACCAGTTCAAGAACGAGAGCCTGGGCATGGCGGTCCTCCATCTCTGCCACATGGCCCTCCGGAGGGGCGTCTCCCTCGAAGAGGTGGCTGAGAGAACCAGGTGACCATCACCTTCTGCCTGGTCCTTTTAAGTGGAGATGCCGGGGATTGAACCTGGGACCTTCTGCATGCCGAGCAGAGGCTCTGCCACTGAGCCAGGGTCTCAGGTCAAGGTCTCAGGTCACCTCCTGCCTGGTCCTTTTAACTGGGGATGCCGGGGACTGAACCTGGGACCTCCTGCATGCCAAGCAGAGGCTCTGCCACTGAGCCAGGGTCTCAGGTCAAGGTCTTTCCCATCACCTCCTGCCTGGTCCTGTTTAACTGGAGATGCCGGGGATTGAACCTGGGACCTCCTGCATGCCAAGCAGAGGATCTGCCACTGAGCCAGGGTCTCAGGTCAAGGTCTTTCCCATCACCTCCTGCCTGATCCTGTTTAACTGGAGATGCCGGGGACTGAACCTGGGACCTTCTGCATGCCTAGCAGAGCCTCTGCTACTGAGCCAGGGTCTCAGGCGGAGGTCTTTCCCATCACCTCCTGCCTGGTCCTTTTAACTGGAGATGCCGGGGATTGAACGTAGGACCTTCTGCATGCCAAGCAGAGGCTCTGCCACTGAGCCAGGGTCTCAGGCAGAGGTCTTTCCCATCACCTCCTGCCTGGTCCTTTTAACTAGAGATGCCGGGGATTGAACCTGGGACCTCCTGCCTGGTCCTTTTAACTGGAGATGATGGGGAATTGATCCTGGGACCTTCTGCATGCCAAGCAGAGGCTTTACCACTGAGCCGCGGCCCCTCTTCACAGCTCTCCAGGGTCTCAGGTCAAGGTCTTTCCCATCACCTCCTGCCTGGTCCTTTTAACTGGAGATGATGGGGAATTGAACCTGGGACCTCCTGCATGTCAAGCAGAGGCCGTGCCCCTGAGCCACAGCCGCTCCCCTTGGAACGGTTAGCATTTGTAGATAACGTGAATATTGCTGTGGAATCACGCTCCCCTTAGAACGGTTAGCATTGATAGATAACGTGAATATTGCTGTGGAATCACTGGGGCAAAGTTGAATAGCAGGCGGGAAGTGGGGTGCCGATCGCCGAGCTCCACCCCTCTTTCGGGCGAGGTCTTCCTCCGACCGTTCGGCCACTCACACCGCTTTCCGTGCTTTCCGTCTGGCCTTCGCAGCTTCAAAGAGTGCATCCCCCGCTCCTTCTGCCGGCAGATCCAGCAGAACAACTACCTGACCAAGTTCCGCATGAAGAACATCTTCAAGAAGTTCGTGCAGCGCTTCCAGCGGCACACGATGAGCAGCGGGAAGCTGACCGAGCAGGACATCATGTACAAGTACCTGGTGACCTTGGAGAACCTGGCTCCTCGCTTTGGGAGCGAGCGGTTCCCGGCCGTCTCCCTAGAGACGGTTTCCGGAGGGGAGACGGTGCCGCTCTACATCAACGGCGGGCACACCCCTCTTGAGAACTCCCACGATGCTCCGGACAGCAACAGACCCGCCACCCACGAGGTCATGATCACGGGCACCGAAGGCATTCAGTGGCGGCTCATGTCCACTGAGGTAGGTTCGTCAGCCACCCCCCCCCCTCGTTGTGGGTACATCTCCGCCTCTCTGTGTCTTTACCAAGCTCGTTTTTCTTGGGAACTGGAGCGCTCAGCTTTCTCAGGGGAACTTGGCAGTGCCTGCCAACCACCGGGTTGCTCCATCCCATCTCGAATCAAATTTGCCTTGATTTATAGGCTCGTCCCGAGGGTTCAGAGCGAGAGTGTGAGAATCAGAAACCTGGATCTACCAGTGATGAAAACCAGGTGGGACGGTTGGGCCAAAACTATCCCTTGAACTGGAACAGAGCCTGAACTATTATTTGGAAGTTGTCATTGAAACTTTTTTTTTTTAAAGGCCAGATTATCAGCTCGAACTCAGAGTGCATCCAAAGAGAAACCTTGTCGCGATAGAGTACTTCAATAATCTTTTATTTTGTCTTGTTTTATTTAAAACCATTTATGAGCTGCCTTTCTTCTGAACGGAGCTCAAGGCGTGCAATATAACTAAAATACGTTCTAATGGAAAGTACTTACAGTATTAAGTGAAATGCATAAAACAGAGTGCATCAAAAGTACATAAAACCCACAATTAAAAGCACAATTTAGGACTGCTTTAACCAAACACAGCCCTAAATAAATAAAACCAGTTTGGTGTAGTGGTTATCGGGGAGAACCGGGTTTGATTCCCCACTCCCCCACTTGCAGCTGCTGGATGACTGTGGGCAAGCCATAGTTCTCTCAGAGCTGTTCTCTCGAGGACAGTTCTGGAAAAAGCTCTCTCAGCCCTGCCTGCCTCACAGGGTGTCTGTTGTGGGGAGGGGGAGGGAAAGGAGACTGTCAGCCGCTCTGAGACTCCTTTGGGTAGTGAAGGGTGGGGTATAAATCCAATCTCTTCTTCTTCTTCTTTTACCTCCCAGGGTGTCTGTTGTGGGGAGGGGAAGGGAAAGGAGTTTGTCAGCCGCTTTGAGACTCTTGAGTGAAGGCGGGGTATAAATCCAATCTCCTCCTCCTCTTCCTCTTCCTCCTCTTCCTCTTCTTCTTCTTCATCTTCTTTGTCTTCTTCTTCTTCCTCCTCTTCCTTCTTCTTCCTCCTCTTCCTCCTCCTCTTCCTTCTTCTTCTTGTTGTTGTTCTTCTTCTTTTCCAGCTGCTTTTCAAAGATCAAGAGTGAAGGGGCCAGCCGCACCTCCTTAGGGAGGTTGTTCCATAATCTTGGGGCAGCCACCGAAAAGGCCCTCTCTCATGTCCCCGCCTGGCAAGCTTCTCTGATTGACGGGACAGTCTGGAGGGCCTCTCCCTGAGATCGTAATTCCCAGGCAGGAACCTATTAAATAATAAAGAATATTGCCGTGTAAGCCCGAATGCCCAGGAAGATTTAGGTTCAAACGCAGCTAAGGTTTGTTTTGGCTTCTGAACGGCTGTGCCCTTGCAAAGTGCCAGGAGGCAGGGCGGAGGACAGAAGCCTGTTGGCTTTCAAAGCAAAGGCCCTGGGGCCGTGCGCTGTGCTCCGAAGAACCCGCTACAGGAGTGAGTTCAGCTTCGTCGTGCTTTATTTTGGAACACCGTGTTCTCGTGCATTTTTCTGCCCTTTTCCCTTCCCTTCTGAATCCAGCCACCCATTTCTTTTGCTCCCTCCCCTCCCCTCTTTTTCTAATAAACCCTTTTGTATATATAAAGATGTTTTTTGACTCCACGTAGCACAATCTGTTTCTCTGGGATAATTCTCTGAATCTCTACGCCAGTTTGTGTGTCGTGGTTAAGTGCGTGGACTCTAATCTGGGGGAACCGGGTTGGATTCCCCACTCCTCCGCTTGCACCTGGCTGGATGACCTTGGGCAAGCCGTAGTTCTGATAAGAGCTGTTCTTGAAAAAGAGCCATTTCTGTTAAGAGCTCTCTGAGCCCCGCCTCCCTCCCAGGGTGCCTGTTGTGGGGAGGGGAAGGGAAAGGAGTTTGTAAGCTGCTCTGAGACTCCCTTGAGTAGTGAAGGGCGGGGTCTAAAGCCAATCTCCTCCTCCTCCTCCTCCTCCTCCTCCTCCTCCTCCTCTTCTTCGCTTGCTAAACAGCATGGGTGCTACATAGTTGGCTCTTTTGGCCAGAAGGGCTTCCGATTGGCTGTGCATATTATTTATTCATTTTTTTATTAAACTTAGCCAGTGCTCCCTCTAAGGTGTGAAGTCTCGTGAGCAGAAATTGTACTTTGTGAGCTACTTGGCATTTCAAGTTGCGAGCAAGCGATTGGGCTGCTGCATAAATTAGTTTCCTCTGGAGCCCTCCCTTCCTGAGCAAAGACAAAAATGTGTGAGCCAGAGGCTAAAAACTGCCAGCTAGTGTTCACACTGACTCAGCTTAGAGGGAACGCTGCTGCAGACTAGAGAGATCAGTTCCCCTGGAGGAAAAGGGCTACTTGGGGGCAGTGTTCCCTCCAAGCTGAGTGAGTGTGAGCTGTCCCACAGTTTTTTAGCCTCCGGCTTACGCATTTCTGTCTTAGCTCAGGAAGGATGGCTTTAGAGCAAACTGATTGAGGCAGCAGCCAAATCACTTGCGGCTCACAACTTTAATGCCAAGTAGCTCACAAAGTTGAATTGTTGCTCACAAGACTCCACAGCTTAGAGGGAACATTGCTGGGGGGGGGGGACAACTCTGCAGCATTACACTCCATTGAGGTCCTTCCCCTTCCCAGGCTCCGCCCCCCAACCTCCAGGAATTTCCCAACCCGGAGATGGCAAACCTGTTAACTGAAACCAGGGAAAAAGACAGGTACGGAGGGCCCAAACCAAGGCTCCCTCTAAGCTGTGGGGTCTTGTGAGCAAAGCTTCTACTTCGTGAGCTACCGGCATTAAAGTTGTGAGCAAGCGATTTGGCTGCTGCCTACATTAGTTTGCTCTGGAGCCCTCCTTCCTGAGCTGAGACAAAAAGGTGTGAGCCAGAGGCTAAAAAACGGTGAGCCAGCTCACACTGACTCAGCTTAGAGGGAACACAGGATAGAAGGAAGGAAGGAAGGAAGGAAGGAAGGAAGGAAGGAAGGAAGGAAGGAAGGAAGGAAGGAAGGCTCCCTCTAAGCTGTGGAGTCTTGTGAGCAAAAATTCTACTTCGTGAGCTACTTGCATTAAAGTTGTGAGTGAGCGATTTGGCTCCTGCATAAATGAGTTTGCTCTGGAGCCATCCCTTCCTGAGCTGAGAGAAAAATGTGTGAGCCGGATGCTAGAAAACAGTGAGCCAGCTCACACTGACTCAGCTTAGAGGGAACACAGGATAGAAGGAAGGCAGGCAGGCTCCCTCCAAGCTGTGGAGTCTTGTGAGCAAAAATTCTACTTTGTGAGCTACCGGCATTAAAATTGTGAGCGAGCGATTTGGCAACTGCATACATTAGTTTGCTCTGGAGCCCTCCCTTCCTGAGCTGAGACAAAAATGTGTAAGCCGGAGGCTAAAAACACTGTGAGCCAGCTCACACTAACTCAGCTTAGAGGGAACTCTGCTTTTAGCCCTCCCTCCCGTGCACAGCACGGCTCAGGGCAGGTAACAACAAGCTAGAACAATCATAAAGTCGTCGTTAAAAACAGATTAGCATCACTGCACAGCAAGAATAAAATCAAATCGTATGGCGGCTTGAGGCGCTAATGGCATAAATCATCCAAGCGAGATTGTGCCACTGGTGGAATTATGCCACCAGTGGAAACTGGCACAACGACCAGTTTGGTGTAGTGGTTAAGAGCACATATTCTAATCTGGGAGAACCGGGTTTGATTCCCCACTCCTCTACTCGCAGCTGCTGGTGTGACCTTGGGTCAGTCACAAGTTCTCTCAGAGCTCTCAGAAGCAGTCCTTGAAAGAGCACTCTCAGCCCCACGTACCTCACAGGGTGTCTGTTGTGGGGAAGGGAAGGGAAAGGGATCGTAAGCCGCTCTGAGACTCCTTCAGGTATAAATCCAATCTCTTCTTCTTCTTCCTGAGGTGGATGTTGTTTTTGTAAGTGTTGGATTTATAATATTTCATTTTCAGGCTTTTCTAGCCATTGCCGTGCCTTGGACTATGGGCGTGCCAGTTTTCAGCTTTCTGGGAAGCCTTTCATCATTGTACAGATTTTTGGAAAACAGTTTCAGCCCTCCATTTTGAGCAGCGAAAATGTAAGTGGCTCTCCTTCAGATTTCCGCCTCCCCCCGCCCCCCGCCATCTGTCTTAGATTTTGCAGGTACCAGCATTCAGATTTCTACGTTGTGTGGAAGTACTTGAACAACTGGCTATCATGTCCCCTCTAAACCTTCTCTTTCCCAGGTGGCGGCTGCTTCTTCTTCCTCTTCCACTTCCTCCTCCTCCTCCTCCTCTCTATATATTTGCACACCCCTAATCTGTATCCCTCACGTGTGGTTTGAAAGTGCAGAACAGTGGAAAACTCAGACCTTCCCAAAGGCATCGTTTCTTTGCTTCTGCCTCTGGTTCTGAAGTTTTGTTGCTTGCATTCCAGTGGGTGAGAAGGGAGATCCAAGTTTACCATTCCACAGTGTTGCTGTAATGAGTGGAGTACAGGCTGATGGTTACAGATGCGGACTCGTTGTCTCTTGATCTTGCAGAGGATAGAAAGCCATCCGCACAGGGGTTATTTGGGGAGGAAGGCCAAGACTAAGGACCACAAACCCAATGGGCCCTACCAGCCGGTGGAAAAATGTGAACCCAAGTGGGTGCGCTTCTGCGACTTCCAGGAGATCACACACATCATCGTCAAGACCTGCAAAGTCAGCATCCATCGCCAAGACAATAAGTGCCTGGTAAGTAGGAGACTGCCGTGCTGGTATTCCACTCTCACAGAGAGAGGGAGCAAGTTGCTGCTTTGATATACAGGGATTGTTTGATATCTGTGTCACTGGTGGGGAGATCTCAGGAACAAGAACATCAGAACATCAGAACATCAGAAGAGCCTTCCTGGATCGGTCCAGTGATCCATCTCATCCAGCCTCCCGTCTCACACAGGGGCCAGCCAGTTCCTCTGGAGGGCCAGCAACAGGGCAGAGAGGCTGAGGCCTTCCCCTGAGAAGGACACCAGAAGAGCTCTGCTGGGTCAGAACAGGGAGGGTCCATCTAGTCCAGGAAGGAAGGAAGGGAGAGAGAGAAGGAAGGTAGGAAGGGGAGGAAGGAAGGAGAGAGAGAAGGAAGGAAGGAAGGAATGGAGGTAGGAAGGAGAGAGAGAAGGAAGGAAGGAAGGAAAGAGAGAGAGAGAAGTAAGGAAGGAGAGAGAGAGAGAAAGAAGGAGACAGAGAAGGAAGGAAGGAATGGAGGAAGGTAGGAGAGAGAGGAGGAAGGAAGGAAAGAGAGAGAAGTAAGGAAGGAGAAAGAGAAGTAAGGAAGGAGAGAGAGAGAGAAGTAAGGAAGGAGAGAGAGAGAGAAAGAAGGAAGGAGACAGAGAAGGAAGGAAGGAATGGAGGAAGGTAGGAGAGAGAGGAGGAAGGAAGGAAAGAGAGAGAAGTAAGGAAAGAGAGAGAGAGAAGGAAGGAGAGAGAGAGAGAAGGAAGGAGACAGGGAAGGAAGGAAGGAATGGAGGAAGGAAGGAGAGAGAGGAGGAAGAAAGGAAGGAAAGAGAGAGAGAGAGAAGGAAGGAAGGAGAGAGAGAGAGAGAAGGAAGGAGACAGAGAAGGAAGGAAGGAATGGAGGAAGGTAGGAGAGAGAGGAGGAAGGAAGGAAAGAGAGAGAAGTAAGGAAGGAAAGAGAGAAGTAAGGAAGGAGAGAGAGAGAGAAGGAAGGAGAGAGAGAGAAGGAAGGAGACAGGGAAGGAAGGAAGGAAGGAAGGAAGGAAGGAGAGAGAGAGAGAAGGAAGGAAGGAAGGAGAGAGAGAGAGAGAAGGAAGGAGACCGAGAAGGAAGGAAGGAATGGAGGAAGGTAGGAGAGAGAGGAGGAAGGAAGGAAAGAGAGAGAAGTAAGGAAGGAGAGAGAGAGAAGTAAGGAAGGAGAGAGAGAGAGAAGGAAGGAGACAGGGAAGGAAGGAAGGAATGGAGGAAGGAAGGAGAGAGAGGAGGAAGAAAGGAAGGAGAGAGAGAGAGAGAGAAGGAAGGAAGGAGAGAGAGAGAGAGAGAAGGAAGGAGAGAGAGAAGGAAGGAAGGAATGGAGGAAGGAAGGAGAGAGAGAAGGAAGGAAGGAAAGAGAGAGAGTGAGAAGGAAGGAGACAGAAGGAAGGAAGGAATGGAGGAAGCAAGGAGAGAGAGGAGGAAGGAAGGAAGGAAAGAGAGAGAAACAGAGAGAGAAGTAAGGAATGAGAGAGAGAGAAGGAAGGAGACCGAAGGAAGGAAGGAATGGAGGAAGCAAGGAGAGGGAGAAGGAAGGAAGGAAGGAGAGAGAGGAGGAAGGAAGGAAGGAAAGAGAGAGAGAGAAGTAAGGAATGAGAGAGAGAGAGAAGGAAGGAGACAGAGAAGGCAGGCAGGCAGGCAGGCTAGATGGAAAACTGTTGCCATCCTCAACCAGAGACCTGGCGGAACGTCTCTCAGAGGCCCTGCGGAACTGCATTTAAGTCCCGCAGGGCACGGATATCTTTCGGCAGAGAGTTCCACCAGGTCAACGCCAGGGCCGAGAAAGCTGGACACCTTACGGGCCGGGGATCACCAGTAAGTGCTCCTCTCCTGAGCCTGGTGCTCTTTGGGGGATATAGCAGGGAGGTGGTCCCTTGGCCAACGTGGTGCTTCCAATGCCTCTTAATGTCTCTGCAACTTTCCCCTTTTTGCATCCAGGATCTGACTGTTCAGTCCCACGAGGCCGCTCTGTCCTTGGTGTCCCTGGTAGACGGTTACTTCAGGCTGACAGCGGACTCCAGCCACTACCTGTGCCACGAGGTCGCTCCGCCACGGCTGGTGATGAGCATCCAGAACGGCATCCACGGCCCGATGCAGTAAGTGGCCCCCTCCTTCGGTTATGCAAACCGGTCCACACGTGGGGCCCTGGGCCTCAGAGCGTCCCCCGTGCCCATTGGGGTCAAACCCATGTCCCCGGCAGTGTTCCCTCTGAGCTGTGCAATCTTGTGAGCAAAAATTCTACTTTGTGAGCCACTGGCATTAAAGCTGTGAGCAAGCCATTTGGCTGCTGCATAAATGAGTTTGCTCTGGAGTCCTCCTTCCTGAGCGAAGACAAAAAGGTGTGAGCCAGAGGCTAAAAAACTGTGAGCTAGCTCACACTAACTCAGCTTAGAGGGAACTCTGGTCCCCGGCAGTGTCCCCTTTAAGCTGAGTTGTAACGGCGAAGACTGCAGACTCGATGCAACGAAGACAAACTCCAGTGACATCAACCTACTCCAAATTTGTGCAGACATGGGCACGAGTTTTAAACTTTATGTCAGCACACGATATACTTCCCACAGATCCCCTATATCACAGCCGGCTTTTCCTCTAAAAAAATCAAAACAAACCGCCAAAACAAAAAACCAACACCGAACGACAAGGATTGCCAAATGAGGACAGTGGTGCAAAAATAGTGAGACGATGGATCAATAGAACCTTAACACAGTGAAACCTTAACACACGTCTACTCACGCATGAGAAAAGGGGAGCTCCAGGGAATTAGATAAGCATCTGGAGCAGAAGTCCATCCGTGGCTATTAGCCACAAGGTATAGATAAGGGCTCTTGGTCTGGGGCAGGTGATGCTCTGTATTCTTAGTGCTTGGGAGGAGGGGGCAACAGTGCAGGGGGGGGGCTTCTGGTGTCCTGGCCCCACTGCTGGACCTCCTGAGGGCACCTGGTATTTCTGGCCACTGTGTGGCACAGTGTGTCGGACTGGATGGGCCATTGGCCTGATCCAATATTGGCTTCTCTTAGGTTCTTATAAGAGGGAATCGGGTAAGCATCTGGAGCAGAGGTCCATCAGTGGCCATTAGCCACAAGGTCTAGATAGGGACTCTCAGTCTGGGGCAAGGGATGCTCTGTATTCTTGATGCTTGGGGGGGGGGGCAACAGTGGGAGGGCTTCTCGTGTCCTGCCCCCACTGCTGGACCTCCTGATGGCACCTGGCATTTCTGGCCACTGTGTGACACAGAGTGTTGGACTGGATGGGCCATTGGCGTGATCCAACATTGGCTTCTCTTATGTTCTTATATGGAACAGAGGTCCATCCGTGGCTATTAGCCACAAGGTATAGATAGGAACTCTCAGTCTGGGGCAATGGATGCTCTGTATTCTCTGTACTTGGGGGGGTCAACAGTGGGAGGGCTTCTAATGTCCTGGCCCCACTGGTGGACCTCCTGAGGGCACTTGGTATTTCTGGCCACTGTGTGACACAGAGTGTTGGACTAAATGGGCCATTGGCCTGATCCAACATTGGCTTCTCTCTTATGTTCTTATGTTCTCTTAAAATAAGACTTTTCTAGTGAACGCAACCTACAAACAAATCTCGGCAACAAACAGGACATGTATAAAAACCAATAAATGTAGACAGTTTAATCTACTGTAACCCAAGTTATATATTGTTATATTATGCTGTGTTCTTTTATATATTCATATGGTAGTTATTGTGATGATATATATTATGATGTTATTTATGGTTATGGTACTCATTTTGCTGTCAATGTAATATATTTAAAAGTATTTTTAAAAACCTCAAAAACCCCACCAGTGTCACTGGGGCAGTCAAATTTATCAGGGCCGATCTGTGCGGTGTATACCAGGGTCCCAGCTCAGGGCAGCGCCCCAAAGATCAAGCAAAGAAAAATATAGCTTTTGATTTTTAAAAAACGCTTTCATTCCCGGAATGACGAGAAAAACAGAACGACAAGGATAACCAAATGAGGACAGTGGTGCAAAAATAGTGAGACAACGAATCGATAAAACCTTAACATACATCTGCTCACATATGAGTGACTGCTGATTGGGAGGAACCTGGGGAAAGCTAGGGGAAGCTTTGGGAGAGATAAAGCGGAAAGAGAAGGGACGGCTAAGTGTTAAAACATTGAGGAATTTCACATTACCCTTTTTAACCTGTTTTGAAGCCGTTTTTGATCTGTCATGGAGTAAACTGTGTTAGCCGAACTGCTTTATCTATAGCAATTGGCAAATTTTAAACTGGGTGCTTGTCAACTATACCAAGGTCGTGTTCCCACCAAGGGTTACCAGAGAAGGAGTCGAGGCTGGTGTTGTTAAAATAACTGTCTTTTACTTAAGAATATAAATCACATACAAACAATACTGATGCGCTCACACATTCAATCAAGCTCCTTAGAAATACAGTATTAAAGTAAGCACGTTTGCATTAGCAGGTGGGGGTGATGAGGGGTGATATTTATCTGTCGTGAAGCTTGTTCGTTCCAATGAAGAATGGATGGGAAGAAATAGAAATCTAGGGAAGTTAACACACGACTAGAACCAGCCAGCACGTGTGGGTCTCTTGACTGCAGATCAAGAGATCAAAGTAGAGGCAGGGGTTTGGGGATAGCAAGCTGGACAAAAGGGGAGTATAAAGCAGACAGGGGTTGTTGCGGGGAATGCTAGCTAGGAAGGGCCAGTTGAATTGTCCTTACCTTTTATAGGTGGTCCATTGGGTGGGAGGTAACTGTTCCAATCTGTGGACCCACCTACCTATTAGTCCGTCCCAAAACTAATCCTATTGGTTGCCTATAGGAGTGGGAGGCTGCCTATAAGGTCAATATTGAAATCTAATACCTTACTCAAGGAAGACATCTGGGCAGGTGTGAAACCTTGGCGTCAGGATGCTTCATTGGCTGGCCATCCTATTGTAAACCAAATGTCCATTTGGCAGGAAACACCAAAGTAGAACAAAGCATGGATGTGTTGCACGTGATCCCAACTAGATCTGCAATGGGGGCTGTCTCTTCTCAAAGCTATTGTTTCTTACTGCTCACAATAATGGAGGTGTGTGCTCCTTCACCAGGCTGTTAACTGTGTAACTGAAACCTCATTCACATGTAAGGCTTGTGCAGGCACCTTCTATGTGTTGCATCACAACAGGTGACTTGGAATGTACAGTTCTCTGAGCCTGTGTGTGTGTGTGCACAGTCCATTGTGTGTAGCAATAAATATAGTCCATAAAGCAAAATATCAAGTTCATTCCGTAACAACCGGTATAGGGCTGCCATTTCACACATGGCTTTCCCCTTCCGGTAGAGAGCTGGATCTGAAGCGGTTTGCCATTTCAGACTGCACCACTTTTTCCCGCTTTCCCCCCACCATTTTTCGCCCGCGTGGGTGATCTCTGGCTTTTTTTTTAACGTTTGCTTTAGAGTGCTATAGTGCTATGGTGCTATAACACAACACTCCAGGCATTCCAATGGGGTTGATATAATGCTGTTGCGTTATAGCATTATACTGTTATAGCGCTATAAAGCGAACGTTCAAAAATAAACAAGCCGGAGATCGCCCGTGCGGGCGAAAAACGGCGGGGAAAAGCGCATTGGAACTGGGAGAGGAAACCTGAAGACTACTTGGAAGTGGTTGACAGGTAAAATGCTTCAGCCCCGTTTCCTAAACGGGACAGAAGCGTTTGTGTGTGAAATTACAAATATATTCCGGTAGGGAACTGGTTCTAAAACGGTTCTGTCTGAAATGACAGACCAGAAACCGTTTGGGAACCGTTCCTCTTCTGAATTATATCGTCTGTCTGAAATTCCTCATTGTATTTCACCATTAAGAATTCAGCAAAGATTTAAGACCCTTGCAGTGACTTTGAGTACTGAGCCTAAGGTTGATCTTCTATCTTTTAGACCAATTTGCTGTATTTTAGGGTGTTCCTGTCCTTCCTCTCATCCTTACCCAAAAATCTGTTCTTTGACCTCCCGATCTCAAAGCAACTGTATCTCAGTCGGGGGTCTGTGCCATCTTTATCTTTCCAGGAAAAGCGTAGATTTGTTTTCCTTATGTCCCTCTTAGGAGTGTAGAATGTACGCCGAATGTTTGAGAACGAAATCGTTGAACTCTTTTTTGAATGTCAGAACCTGACGTCTTTGTTTCTTCTTCGCCTGTAAAAGAAGAACTTTATATCCGTTATTTTATGCTAGTTTCTTAGTGAGACTTGGGCACTTGGACGAGCTCACATCAGAATCATTCTTAATGAAACTGCCTGCTTTGTTGGCCAAATGCCTTGGGTGAATCTACTTCTCTCCCAGATAGAACTCGGGAAAGGGGGTTGTACTAGAGTTTTGAAAACTCCCCTAACCCTAAGAGTCCAGAACGGGGAAGCTGACAGAGAGTAGATCCGGGTATAAAGCCAACTGCAGGGTTCGGGGCTGATGGCTCAGAAGCAGAAGAAGAGATTGGATTTATACCAGCTGTGTCTTCAAGGTTAAATGGGTATGGGCGGGGGTCATTTCGTAGAAAAAGAGGTGCAGGAGCTCATTAGCATAATTTATTTGCATATGCCACACCCCCTGACATCACCGGAAGTGTGTTGGAAGGCAACACCCACCGCTCAGACGCCACTGGACTGTTTTGGACTGCTAGCTATTGGGGGGGGGGGGAAGGTGCAGATCTGTCTTCGTTGAGGAGGGAGAGCTTGTACCTGAATGAAACTTGGTCTTAAAGGTACCACTGGACTGTTTTGGATTGCTAGCTATGGGGGGGGGGGGAACATGCAGGTTTGTACCTGAACAAAACTTGGTCTTAAAGGTGCCACTGGACTGTTTTGGATTGCTAGCTATGGGGGGGGGGGCAATACGGATCGGCCCCCAAAGGGGAGGGCCGGGGGGGGCGGCTCTGCAACTTACCTGGCTGCTTCTTGCTCTGACTGAGGGCTGCTGGGAGCAGGGGGTGGGGCTTGTTGCATGTGCTCGCCCCCTGGGCTCTTTACTGCCGGGGCTCCGCTCCTGTGCGCTGCTGCAGGAAATGACCCCTGGGTATGGGGGGGGGCAGCCCGATACATATCACTTCAACTTCCAAGCATTCTTCTCTCGCATCTCACGGGTAAATTGTCTGGAAAGCGACAGAACAACCGTCACTACTCACACGTGCCGGACCTTTTTGGGAACGGAGGACCGAGATCTCTCCAGGTCGCTCCCTGAAACATCTTCTGCTCCTGTGTTCCTAGGGAGGAGTTTATCTTGGCCAAGCTGAAGCGGGAGGAGCAAGAGGACGGTCTGTACGCCCTCCGCTGGAGCGTCGTGGACTTCAACAGAATGATTCTGTCCGTGTTGAAGAGAGGCCAGGTATGTCCTAGGAAAGCGGCAGCGGACCCTTTTGGAAACAGTGTTCTGCCGTCTGCTTCAGACCGGTGGCGGCTCTGCTCCGGTGCCCTGTGGAACAGCAAGGCCTCTTCGTCTCACGACTGTCCCAGGCAGATCCGCCAGGCTTGGGGTGCTAAGCGGGGTCAGCCCTGGTTCGTGTTTGGATGGGAGACCACCCAGGAAGTCCAGGGTTGCTACGCAGAGGCAGGCCATGGCCGACCACCACCTCTGTTCAGTCTCTTGCCTTGACCAGGCTAGCCCGACCTCATCAGATCTCAGAAGCTAAGCAGGGCCGGCCCCGGTTAGTCCTTGGATGGGAGACCGCCAGAGGAGTTCTCCCAGATTGGAGTCCATTCACCGCTCACCACTACACCAAACTAGTTCAGTAGATGTTATATGATTGGACTTCCAGAAAGTTTTTGACAGGTTACCTCACCAAACACCTCCTGAGTAAGCTTTGCAGCCATGGGGTTAGAGGATGGGTCCTCTTATGGATTCAGAGTCGGTTTAACAGCAGGATGATGGACTGGAGGGACCCTCCCTGGTCCGACCCAGCAGGGCTCTTCTGCTGTCCTTATCAGGGGAAGGCCTCGGCCTCTCTGCCCTGTTGCTGGCCATCTAGACGAACTGTTTGGCCAGTATGTGAGACGGGAAGCTGAACTAGATCAACTACTGGTCTGATCCGGCAGAGCTCTTCTGGTGTCCTTATCAGGGGAAGGCCTCGGCCTCTCTGCCCTGTTGCTGGCCATCTAGACGAACTGTTTGGCCAGTATGTGAGACGGGAAGCTGAACTAGATCAACTACTGGTCTGATCCGGCAGAGCTCTTCTGGTGTCCTTATCAGGGGAAGGCCTCGGCCTCTCTGCCCTGTTGCTGGCCATCTAGACGAACTGTTTGGCCAGTATGTGAGACGGGAAGCTGAACTAGATCAACTACTGGTCTGATCCGGCAGAGCTCTTCTGGTGTCCTTATCAGGGGAAGGCCTCGGCCTCTCTGCCCTGTTGCTGGCCATCTAGACGAACTGTTTGGCCAGTATGTGAGACGGGAAGCTGAACTAGATCAACTACTGGTCTGATCCGGCAGAGCTCTTCTGGTGTCCTTATCAGGGGAAGGCCTCGGCCTCCATGCCCTGTTGTTGGCCACTGGTTGGCCACTGTGTGAGACAGGATGCCAGACTAGATGGACCAGAAGAACCTCTTCTGATATTCGTACAATACTGGGTTGAAATTAAGGGCAGGAAGCTACCTGCTGGATATTAGGAAGAACTTTTTTACAGTCAGAGTTGTGCCGCAGTGGAATCAGCTGCCTGGGGAGGTGGTGAGTTCCCCCTCCCTGGCAGTCTTCAAGCAGCGGCTGGATTTGTCAGGGATGCTCTTGGCTGATCCTGCACTGAGCCGGGGGGTTGGACTAGATGGCCTGCCTGGCCCCTTCCCACTCTGTGATTATCCGATTCCAAGTCGGTTGGACTCCATCACTTGTTCTTCCTCGTTTGCTCGTTTGTTCCAGAACGGCCGGATACAGGATGCCACAAACTGCAGACAGTTCCGGATCCAGAGGAAAGGAAATTCCTTTGTGCTGGAAGGCTGGGGGCAGAAGTTTTCCAGTGTCCAGGAACTGATGAACGCTCTCAAAGGCTGCACGTTACGATCTGGAAACGATACCTTTGTTTTAAAGCGGTGTTGTCTCCCAAAGCCTGGAGGTACGAAGTGGGCCGCATAATAAGAAGTATCCCGCTTTCAGTGTTATGGCCCAGCAGTGGAGTTCTCCTTGAGGAAACGGGGGCACGCACGATACAGCAGGGGGTCCCCAACGTGACGCCCATGAGCGCCAGGGTGCCCACCAGCACCTTTCTTGGTGCCCATCCAGTATTTTTAGAAAGTGGGCGGGGCCGGGTGGGGCTTTTGCCCAGTGAGGCTTCTGATTGGCCACTGGAGGTTTGATTGACTGGGCAGATTTTTAAAAATCGCTGCTTTGGCAGCAGATGCCACCGCAGCGTGATTTTCACTGTGGGATAAAATCTAAGCCGCCGGCTGCTGTTTGCGCCTCAGGATGCCAGTGGGTCGATAGGAGAGTTCCAAAGTTTTAGTGCCACGATTGAGAAGGTTCCTTCGCGGACTGCCACCGGCCTGTATAGGTACATAATACGCTATGAGATGTCATTTCCTGGGTATGAATCACATCCCTGGGTATTTGCTTACACATTCTCTTCTTGTGGATAAACATATGGAACACTTTGTCTGGGGCAAATGATGCTCTGTATCCTTGGTGCTTGGGGGGAGGGCCACAGTGGGAGGGCTTCTGGTGTCCTGGCCCCACTGCTGGACCTCCTGCTGGCCCCGGGTTTGGGCTACTGTGGGACACAGAGTGTGGGACTGGATGGACCATTGGCCTGATCCAGCATGACTTCTCTTATGGTCTTATGTCTGGGGCAAGGGATGCTCTGTCTTCTTGGTGCTTGGAGGGGGGGGGGCAACAGGGGGAGGGCTTCTAGTGTCCTGGCCCCACTGCTGGACCTCCTGCTGGCCCCGGGTTTGGGCTACTGTGGGACACAGAGTGTGGGACTGGATGGACCATTGGCCTGATCCAGCATGACTTCTCTTATGGTCTTATGTCTGGGGCAAGGGATGCTCTGTCTTCTTGGTGCTTGGAGGGGGGGGGGCAACAGGGGGAGGGCTTCTAGTGTCCTGGCCCCACTGCTGGACCTCCTGAGGGTACCTGGTATTTCTGGCCACTGTGTGACACAGAGTGTTTCCTTCTGCAGAAATCTCGGACTTGCTGATCACGCGGAAAGTGAAAGACAGCAGCCGGCAGATTCTGAACCTGACCCAGCTGAGCTTCCACCAGATCCGGAAGAATGAGATCACCCAGGTCAGCTCATTTTGATCATTTGGGGCTGAAAGGGTAGCGTCAGGTGAGACTGATGCAGCCCAGGAAGGACCCAGTGTTCTCCTTCTGCGTAAGGAACTCCAAGCCCCCATGTAACCCTCAGTGAAGGAGACTTGGTGGGTTCGGAGCGGCCAATATGTCAAGTCTGGGGTGAATTCTTTGCTTCCTGGGCAACCAGAGACACCGTTTACCCTCTTAAAGTGACCCGAAGTCCCTGACTGGGTATGTCAGGGTGGTATCTTGGGGGAAAGGCTTCAGTGCTTCATAGCAATGTTTTTGGGATGCTGCAAACGTCGTTCATTGTGGGAAAAAAGACTAAGGCTTCTTTGAGCCTGTGAGGTCTTGCTTATTGCGGAGACCATTTCTCCTTTAAACCACACTTTGTGTCCATCTTAGTAGATTTCTGCTGCCACCAGGAATTAAAAATTCAAATCTCTCTATTTTGGTAGAATGACCCAGTATCTGGGTGCTTTAGAGGACTATGTGGCCCTGAGGAAGGACTGTTCTGATTGCTGGGATAAGTTTAAACAAATAATGATTTCTTTATTAAAGAACAAAATAGGTTTCTGGGTATTTTCGAACTGTTGTTGAAGAAAGAAAATATAACTGACAAGGCTTGGCGTCACGCACAGTCTCTCATACACCAAAACTCAGCTCTTGACAGGCTTATCTGTCTCTCATATAGCCACACAGGCTAATCTCTCTCATTTAGCCACACAGGCTAAGCACTCTTGCTCAAATATAGCCACACAGGTTGAACTCTCTTGGTCATATAGCCACACAGTCTGAACTCTCTCAATTCTTATGCATATATAGCCACACAGGCTGAACTTTCTCATATCCACACAGGTTACAATAAACTCCAACTGCTTCCTCTGTCACACAGACTCCCACACAAACTCTCCACACTCGTCTCTTCAAGAACACGGAATCACCTCAGAGGCCTCTCCCACACTCTCAGTCATCAGCCAGTCACATCACATTTGTCTCCCTCTATCACTCTGCTTGGAGCTGCGGTGGCTCAAGTGGCTAAGACGCTGAACTGCAGGCTGTGGAAGGTCAGTAGTTCAGCAGTTCGTGACCTGGGTACCGCATGACGGAGTGAGCTCCCGTCTCTAGTTCCAGCTCCTGCCAACCTAGCAGTTCGAAAGCAAGACATTGCAAGTAGATAAATAGGTACCACTTCGGCGGGAAGGGAACAGCGTTCCGTGCGCCTTGGGGTTTAGTCATGCCGGCCACATGACCACGGAAACGTCTTCGGACAGCGCTGGCTCTTTGGCTTTGAAACGGAGATGAGCACCGCAACCCTAGAGTCGGATTCGACTGGCTTTCGAGCAAGGGAACCTTTACCTTTATCAGTCTCCTTACATTACTGCAGTCTCACTGAACATTTAAAGAAACACACACACCAAAACAAGAAATCATTCCAGAGCCCAACAAGCTTTACATTCAGGGGGAAGGAATGCTTCCACTAACACTGTGGGGGTCTTCACCTCCTGCAGAGGGCCCACTTGGGGCAAGGGACCCGCACCAACATCTACGAGGGCACGTTACGTGTGTGTGGCGGGAACGCTGGCGATGAGGAGACGGAGTATTTTTCCACGGAGCAGAACAACAACAGCCGGGAGATGCGAGTGGTGCTCAAGATGCTGGATCCCAGCCACAGGGACATCGCACTGGTGAGTAGGAGCAGCGGGCGGCCCCAGAGTGGGAAACACCCCCCCCCTCCACCTCCCCATTGGCTGCTGGCCCGGATGGGTGGGCCTCCTTGTTCTGGAAACTCTGGATTTAGGGCAGCTGCTGCCTTCGGCTGGGGAGGTACGTCAGACAAACCAACACTACGATAAAAAATGACAATGACTTTTAATAAAACTCACGAACATCAAATCATATTACAAAAGAAACTTTTCTAATATTACTAAGGAGATTCTAACATCCTCAAGGAAAAGTCCATCATCCTCAATGCGCCCCCCCGGTTATAAACTCATTTCACCCGTCTTCCTCAGGAATGATCCTATTGGATTGAAAGGTGTCAGTCTCTTGATACAGTTTGGTGTCGTGGTTAAGTGCGCGGACTCTAATCTGGGAGAACCGGGTTTGATTCCCCACTCCTCCACTTGCACCTGGCTGGATGACCTTGGGCAAGCCGTAGTTCTGTCAGAGCTGATCTCTCAGGAGCAGTTTCTGTCAGAGCTCTCTCAGCCCCATCTGCCTCACAGGGTGCCTGTTGTGGGGAGGGGAGGGGAAGGGAAAGGAGTTTGTAAGCCGCTCTGAGACACCTTTGGGTAGTGAAGGGCGGGGTATAAATCCAATCTCTTCTTCTTCTACCTCACAGGGTGTCTGTTATGGGGAGGGGGAGGAAAAGGAGTTTGTGAGCCGCTCTGAGACACCTTTGGGTAGTGAAGGGTGGGGTATAAACCCAATCTCTTCTTCTTTTACCTCACAGGGTGTCTGTTGTGGGGAGGGGAAGGGAAAGGAGTTTGTAAGCCACTCTGAGACACCTTTGGGTAGTGAAGGGTGGGGTATAATTCCAATCTCCTCTTCTTCTTCTTCTTCTTTTACCTCACAGGGTGTCTGTTGTGGGGAGGGGAAGGGAAAGGAGTTTGTGAGCCGCTCTGAGACTCCTTTGGGTAGTGAAGGGCGGGGTATAAACCCAATCTCCTCTTCTTTTACCTCACAGGGTGTCTGTTGTGGGGAGGGGAAGGGAAAGGAGTTTGTAAGCCGCTCTGAGACTCCTTTGGGTAGTGAAGGGCGGGGTATAAACCCAATCTCCTCTTCTTTTACCTCACGGGGTGTCTGTGGTGGGGAGGGGAAGGGAAAGGAGTTTGTAAGCCACTCTGAGACACCTTTGGGTAGTGAAGGGCGGGGTAGAAATCCAATCTCCTCCTCCTCCTCCTCCTCCTCTTCTTCTTCTTCTTCTTCCTTCTTCTTCTTCTAACTTTTTTGCTTTCTTCAGATTTTTACAGCTTAATTTCTCTTTTTACTTTCTTCAAATTATCTTCTAGTTCCATTTCAAGTGTTAGAATTAGGAGGAAGCCAGTTCACTTACTTCTAGTAGTAGCAGCCAGTCCTCCTTCCATATCGGCTAGACGCCTTCTTTTTTTAAATCGGCTGGCAATTGCTCTCTATCACAAGTCGCTGGCCGAATTGCTCTCTAGTTGTTTGTAGTGGGTAGCACCTTCAGTCCAGGGTCACTTCTCAGAGCCAGACCGTGGCCAACCACCTCCATGTGTCGTTTGCCTTGACCTCGCCGGCCCAGGCTAGCCCGATCTCGTCCGCTCTCGGGATCTAAGCTGTGTCAGTCCTTGGATCGGAGGCCGCCAAGGAAGTCCAGGGCTGCGACGCAGAGGCGGGCAGTGGGAAAGCACCTCTGTTTGTCTCTTGCCTCCGAGGACCCTCTGATGTCACGCCCCCCCCCCCCCAGCGCACACCCCGATGGCATTTTCCACCACGGCCGTAACACCGTCGACGGGAGCAGAAGCCCCGAAGTGGCCCCGCTGCACCCCGTCTCCAGCAGGCTGTCAGTCGGCCAGTAGCAGTGCCCACTCACTTGTCTCAGCTGCAGGGGTCATTTCATAGAAAAAGAGGTGCAGGCGCTCATTAGCATGACTCATTTGCATATGCCACACACCCCTGATATCACCGGAAGCGTGTCAGAAGGCAACAGCCACCGCTCAGGCTCCACTGGACTGTTTTGGATTGCTAGCTATTGGGGGGAGGGGGGAACGTGCAGATCTGCCCTCACAGAGGAGGGAGAGCTTGTGCCTGAATAAACCTTGGTCTTAAAGGTGCCACTGGACTGTTTTGGACCGGGGGATGGGAGTTCTGCAAGTTACCTGGCTGCTTCTTGCTCTGACTGAGGGCTGCTGGGAGCAGGGGGTGGGGGTTGTTGCATGTGCCCGCCCCCTGGCCTCTTTACTGCTGGAGCTCTGCTCCTGTGCGCTCCTGCAGGAAATGTACCTTTCGCACAGTGATGGTCTGCCCCCTGTTATCTGCAGGCATTCTTCGAGACGGCGAGCCTGATGAGCCAGGTCTCCCACATCCACTTGGCGTTTATGCACGGGGTTTGCGTGCGGGGCTCAGAGAGTAAGTATTACCCCCACCCCACCCAACTGCGTCTTCTGCAGGGCTTCTCTCCCTGCGCCTGGCTCTCTGAGACTCACTCATCTGGTCTTCTGAGTCGCCTCACTGGCGGCATTGCATCCTGCCCTCACCGCTCTCCTCGCTGTTGACGTGAGCGCAGAACCGTCTTGTCCGTCTCTGCTGCCGAGAGTGCTAGAGACAGCTCGCAAAGGTGCTTGGGAAATGGATTCAGGACACTGGTCTCTACGACCGTGTGTCGCTTGTCAGAATTAAGGTCCCGCAATGGAATTTTGCAACAATCTGTGTGTCACGTTAATGCTTCTGCTCTGCTGCAGTTCTGGTTTTGGACTTCTGGTTGGTCCTAGAACCCTAATTCCTGTTGTGTTGTTCACTGAATGCCCGGTCCTCTTGATTGTATCAATTCCCTCTGCGTGATCTGCCTGGAGTCCAAGTGAGAAAGGTGGATGATAAATAAGGTAGGCAGGTAGGTAGATTGGATGGATGGATGGATGGATGGATAGTTGGATGGATGGATGGATGGATGGATTGATGGATGGATGGATAGTTGGATGGATGGATGGATAGTTGAATGGATGGATAGTTGGATAGTTGGATGGATGGATAGTTGAATGGATGGATAGTTGGATGGATGGATAGTTGGATGGATGATAGATAGATAGAGGGAGAGAGATGGGCATTACTTGCTGACACCGTGCAGCATTGGCTCTGGCTGAGTTCCGTGGTGCTCCCCTGCTTTCTGAACTGTGGTCCATCTTCCAGCTTGGTGTAGCGTTTAAAAGCATCAGGACTCTAATCTGGGAGAACTGGGTTTGATTCCCCACTCCTCTACATGCAGCCAGCTGGGTGACCTTGGGTCAGTCACAAGTTCTCTCGGAGCTGTTCTCTCAGGAGCAGTCCTTGAAAGAGCTCTCTCAGCCCCACCTACCTCACAGGGTGTCCGTTGTGGGGAGGGGAAGGGAAAGGAGTTTGTAAGCAGCTCTGACACTCCTTTGGGTAGTGAAGGGCAGGGTATAAAAACCAACTCTTCTTCTTCTTCTTTTTGCATCTGGCCTTTTAGCACAGCCCGTTCCACGGCCCCTTGTGGTTTTGCATCCAATCCACTGACCTACAGCTTTGGAGCAAGGGTGCTTTGTCTCCCTTCGCCTTAAGAGGCTCACCTTCTCTCTCTGTTTTTTTCTTCTTTTCTTTGCCGCCCTCAGACATAATGGTGGAAGAGTACATCGAACACGGCCCTTTGGATGTCTTCTTGCGCAAAAACAAAGGGCGGGTTACGGTTGGCTGGAAGTTCACTGTTGCCGCGCAGCTGGCGAGCGCCCTGAGTTACCTGGTAGGTGTTTTCTGGCGGAACTCCCCCTAGCAGCTTGTCAGAACCACAGCTAACAACGAAGTACACACATTCAGGAACGGTTATACTTTTATTGCAAACCTATAGATGCAGTAACACAGGCACTGTTAGGAATGGCCGCAGCCACTAGAGCATAATAGGATATAGGGTATTCGTATGCACACACCCCCCCCCCCATGGCATGGGCCAATTAGGGACCCTCCCGCGCGCAGGCTAAGTCATGCAACAGTTAGATGGCTAAAGCTGAGAACTCGGAGTCTCTCATGGTACATAGGAGCACTGCAGACAACACAACCTCCTCCTGCACATCTGTAGAGATAAGCGTTTCAGCAAAGGCGTAACAGCAGGGATAGGAATGCAATAGCTATTAACAACAGAATGAACTCCCCAACCCCCATGGCAGCATAGCTGACACAGCTAAAATGGCTGAAATGAGGCCGTCGTACTTTGATCACATCACGAGAAGACAGATTTCAGCGGGTATCCGTGTCGGCCTGCGGTAGAACAGTTAGATCCAAGCCTAGCAGGGCCCTGAAGACCAACAAGAACCTTAGAACCAGTTCAGTTTATTTTTACAGCCCTTAGTCCAGTCATACAAAAAGAAGCACACCTTTACAATATTCCAAGATTTTAAAATACGTCAGAAAAACACGAAGAACAGATTGAAGTTTAATCTAATATCTAACTGCCATAACGACCTAGCTACCATAGAATTTCCGTAATCTTGAGTATCGCCATACAGAAACTGGCTACTTGGTGGCTGGTTTGGTGTCGTGGTTAAGCGCGCGGACTCTAATCTGGGAGAACTGGGTTTGATTCCCCCCTCCTCCGCTTGCACCTGGCTGGATGACCTTGGGCAAGCCGTAGCTCTGATAAGAGCTGTTCTTGAAAAAGAGCAGTCTCTGTCAAGAGCTCTCTCGGCCCCACCTACCTCACAGGGCGTCTGTTGTGGGGAGGGGAAGGGAAAGGAGATTGTGAGCCGCTCTGAGACTCCTTCGGGTAACGAAGGGCGGGGTATAAATCCAATCTCCTCTTCTTCTTCTTTTACCTCACAGGGCGTCTGTTGTGGGGAGGGGAAGGGAAAGGAGATTGTGAGCCGCTCTGAGACTCCTTCGGGTAACGAAGGGCGGGGTATAAATCCAATCTCCTCTTCTTCTTCTTTTACCTCACAGGGCGTCTGTTGTGGGGAGGGGAAGGGAAAGGAGATTGTGAGCCGCTCTGAGACTCCTTCGGGTAACGAAGGGCGGGGTATAAATCCAATCTCCTCTTCTTCTTCTTTTACCTCACAGGGCGTCTGTTGTGGGGAGGGGAAGGGAAAGGAGATTGTGAGCCGCTCTGAGACTCCTTCGGGTAACGAAGGGCGGGGTATAAATCCAATCTCTTCTTCTCTTCTTCTTCTAGATAATGGGATCTTATAGTTTTCAGGCGAAAGGGGGTGGAGACGCTGAGGCTAGGCAGAGTGGATGTGATGTGTGAGTGGCCCTTAGGAGGGGTTACATTAAATGTTCCGTCTAAGCTCTGGAGTCTTGTGAGCAAAAATTCTACTTTGTGAGCTCCTGGCATTCAAGTTGTGAGAGAGCAATTTGGCGACTGCATAAATCACTTTGCTCTGGAGCCCTCCTTCCTGAGCCGAGACAAAAAATGTGTGAGCCGGAGGCTAAAAAAAAACGGTGAGCTAGCTCACACTAACTCAGAGGGAACACTGGTGGCAACCACAGGTGACCATTATTGACCCTGACTGCACGCTTTTTGGTCCGTTGGCCTTCCTCAGTGGTCGATCAAATGGTATTATAGAACGGCTCCTGATATTACAACGCAACAATAATTTCTTACAAATTGACCGCAGCTCAAACGATCTTCACAGTGTGACTGAAGCTGATCTGTGGCAGCCATTTCACGTGTGGGCAAAACCGAGCGGGTGCAGAAGAGAGTGACGAGGATGATCAGGGGTCTGGAGGCTGAGCCCTACGAGGAAAGGCTAAGGGCCTTGGGAATGTTTAGTCTGGAGAAGAGGAGATTGAGGGGGGACAGGATTGCTCTCTTTAAATCTTTGAAAGGCCGTCATTTGGAGGAGGGCAAGCAGCTGTTCCAGTTGGCAGCAGAGGACAGGACCCGAAGCAACGGGTTTAAATTACATGCAAAAAGGAAGCAGCTGGATATTAGGAAACACTTTTTCACGGTCAGAGTGGCTCAGAGGTGGAATCAGCTGCCTAAGGAGGTGGTGAGCTCCCCTTCACTGGCACCTTTCAAAAAGAGGCTGGACGAGTATTTGTCAGAAATGCTTTAGGCTGGTCCCGCATTGTGCAGGGGGTTGGACTAGATGACCTCTATGGCCCCTTCCAACTCTATGATTCTATGGCTGGGTTTGCTTCCTGTGGCAGCCATTTTGTGGCTGCGCCCACCACGCTGTGTCAGAATTCCAAAGGTATAAAGGCAACAGTGGTGAGAGTCTGACCCACAAATCAAGCCGTCACCAAGACTTGCAAAGAAAAAGCTTCCGATGTATTATAATCTAAAGCACTACAACATCATTAATAAATCATAAGAAAATCCTTGTGCAGAGGTACAAAATCAACGTTGTCTCCGGTTTATATAACAACGTTTCAATAACGATCTTCCTCAGGAAATATTAAGGTAACGGTAACGGTTCCCTTGCTCGAAAGCCAGTCGAATCCGACTCTAGGGTTGCGGTGCTCATCTCCGTTTCCAAGCCGAAGAGCCAGCGCTGTCCGAAGACGTTTCCGTGGTCATGTGGCTGGCATGACTAAACACCAAGGCGCACGGAACGCTGTTCCCTTCCCACCGAAGTGGTACCTATTTATCTACTTGCAATTTCTTGCTTTCGAACTGCTAGGTTGGCAGGAGCTGGAACTAGAGATGGGAGCTCACTCCATCATTCGGCACCCGGGTCTCGAACTGCTGAACTCCTGACCTTCCACAGCCTGCAGTTCAGCGTCTTAACCACTTGAGCCACTGCAGCTCAGAGTAGTACAAAAGCGCTCTGTATTCATGAAGTGCTTGACAACGAGTCATAAAGAACACAACATTAGAATAGGACGCTGATCTCAATAAATGTTCAGGTTTGAATATGCTGCTAAGCTTCTAAATGGATCCCGGGCGTCTCCCTCTAGTGATTCCTAGCAAAGCGTAATTAATGGGACCTTGCAAATTGCTGACAGGTGATAAGAGGCAGTACACTTAAAGAAACATCCCATAGTTGTTTACAGAAAAAATCACATCGTTTACAAAAGACAAAGTAGTTTACAGAAAACATGAAAGGTCAATTTCTGCGTTTAGTCCATTTGGAGATGCGTTGTTGTACCTTTGCACGAGGATTTTCTTATGATCTATTACTGATGTTGTAGTACTTTAGACCATAATACATCGGAAGCTTTTTCTTTGCAAATCTTGGTGACGGCTTGATTTGTGGGTCAGACTCTCACCACTGTTGCCTTTATACTTATTTCCCGATTGCGTCGCATCTGTCCATATTTATCTTGTAGAATTCCAAAGGTGCCTTCAGGCTCAGAAAGAATGGGGACCCCTTCTCTGTGGGGAAACTGACACGGAACGGAACGTTCTCCGAGTTGGAGACCGAGGACGAACGTGCTTCCCTCCTCCCAATTCCCACTACTGAAGGGAACGGTTTCTTTTGGAGGGGGCCCTTGAACTGGCTCGGTCTGTGCCGGCGTCAGAGACTCTGAGATCTTTCACAAAGACGCTTTTCTCTGTTGACACAGGAAGACAAAAACCTGGTGCACGGTAACGTCTGTGCCAAGAACATCCTGTTGGCCAGGAAGGGCCTAGAAGACGGCTTGAAGCCTTTCATTAAGCTCAGCGACCCCGGAGTCAGCTTCAGCGTTCTCTCCCGAGAAGGTATGCCCTCTCTTCTGAATCCACTGCCACGGGAAGTGGTGGCAGCTACAGGCACAGGCAGTGTCAAGAGGGAACTGGATAAACATACAGAGCCGAGGTCCCTCAGTGGCTCTTAGCCACAAGGTATAGAGGGAACACTCTGTCTGGGGCAAGGGATGCTCTGCCTTCGTGGTGCTTCGGGGGGGCACAGTGGGAGGGCTTCTGGAGTTCTGGCCCCGCTGGTGGACCTCCTGATGGCCCCTGGGTTTTGGCCACTGTTTGACACAGAGTGTTGGACTGGATGGGCCATTGGCCTGATCCAACATTGGCTTCTCTTACGTTCTTATGTCTGGGGCAGTGATGCTCTGTCTTCTTGGTGTTTGGGGGGACAACAGAGGGGGGGCTTCTGGAATTCTGGCCCCACTGGTGGACCTCCTGATGATATTTTTGGCCACTGTGTGACACAGAGTGTTGGACTGGATGGGCCATTGGCCTGATCCAACATTGGCTTCTCTTACGTTCTTATGTCTGGGGCAGTGATGCGCTGTCTTCTTGGTGCTTGGGGGGACAACAGTGGAAGGGCTTCTGGAATTCTGGCCCCACTGGTGGACCTCCTGATGGTATTTTTGGCCACTGTGTGACACAGAGTGTTGGACTGGATGGGCCACTGGCCTGATCCAACATGGCTTCTCTGATGTTCTTATGTATGGGGCAGTGATGCTCTGTCTTCTTGGTTCTTGGGGGGGGGGGCACAGTGGGAAGGCTTCTAGTGTCCTGGCCCCACTGGTGGACCTCCTGATGGCCCCTGGGTTTTGGCCGCTGTGTGACACAGAGTGTTGGACTGGAGGGGCCATTGGCCTGATCCAACATGCCTTCTCTTATGCTCTGATATGGAGGCTGGCTCATAAGTCTCTCATTGAGTGTATGTTACTATAGTGGAAGCGTTCATTTGATGCTGTTCTGTGGCCATTGTTGACAACTGTGTGTGTCATTGTTGCTTCTTCTTGTTGTGACGGAAAGGGAGAGGAAGAAAAAGTTCTCTTTGTCAGCTCTCTCCATCCCATGCTTAATCTTATAAACCTCTATAAAGTTCCCTAAAAAGGTCTCTTTCCTAAATGGAAAAGTCTCAGGCTCTTTAGCCTTTCCCGAAAGGGGATGTGCTCGAACCTCCTCATCATCTTGGTCGCCCTCGTCTGTACTTTTCCCAGCTCTGCAGTGTCCTTTTGGAGATACAATGTCCGGATCTGTGCACCGTATCCCGAATCGTGAACCTAAGCAGGGGACTGTCCAGACCTCCTCGCGGACGTGTGCCTTTTGGTGCAAAAATCTAAAAACCTCACAGTCACCGCGAACAGAGTTTCCACTTTGTTTTGGGAGGGACACCTGCTTAGCCATCGCTAAGTCTTGCATGGGCCCACTTCACGCATGTTAAGCGAACACTGCTGTTTGCTTTAGCTTGCCCGTCGTTCATTCTGGTTTCTTTCTCCCCCCTCGCCAAGAGCGAGTCGACAGGATTCCATGGATCGCCCCTGAGTGCGTCAGAGACATCAGCAGCCTCAGCACCATGGCCGACAAATGGAGCTTTGGGACCACGCTGCTGGAGATCTGCTTCGATGCGGACGTGCCCCTGAAAGAACGCACGCCCTCTGAGGTAGGTCCTTTCCGCACTTGGATCTCGTCCCTGGTTTGATCAGAGTTCAGCTTGTGACCGCAACACCTTGGACTTATCCCTGATCATAACAGCATCCGTTTATCCCAGGACAAGTGTGGGATGAAACCGGGGTGACCTCAACCTAACGTGGAAACAAAAAATTCCCCGAGATAATTAACAGGGGTGAACTTGCGTGTAGTGTAGAATGTAAGTTCGGGGACAGGGTTGAACCAGGATTTAAGGTCTAGTGTGGAAAGGACCTAACTTGGGTTGGCCCAGGCCTGATCTTGGAAGCGAAGTAGTGTCGGTCCTGGTTAGGGCTTGGATGGGGGCCATCAAGGAAGTCCAGGGTTGCTACGCAGAGGCAGGCAATGGCAAACCACCTTTGTTTGTCTCTTGCCTTGCCTTGGATGACCTTTTGTCTTAGTTCATACTTAGATGGCCTGAGCTAGGTCCTTTCCGCACTTGGTTCCGTAGTTTTATCAGAGTTCAAGTCACGACACTAATACCTTGCACTTATCCCTGGTAAGGCAACGGCAAACCATCTCGGTTTGTCTCAGTTCATACTTAGATGGCCTGAGCTAGGTCTTGGAAACTAAGGTCCTTTCCGCACTTGGATCTCATCCGTAGTTTTATCAGAGTTCAAGTCGCGACACTAATACCTTGCACTTATCCCTGGTTACAACAGCATCCGTTTATCCCGGGTCAAGTGTGGGATGAAACCGGGATGACCTCAACGAAATGTGGAAGCAAAAAATACCCCGAGATAATTACGGGGTGAACTCGCGTGTAGTGTCGAATGTAAAAATACCCCGAGATAGTTACAGGGGTGAACTTGCGTGTAGTGTAGAATGTAAAAATACCCTGAGATAATTACAGGGGTGAACTTGCGTGTAGTGTAGAATGTAAAAATACCCTGAGATAATTACAGGGGTGAACTTGCGTGTAGTGTAGAATGTAAAAATACCCTGAGATAATTACAGGGGTGAACTTGCGTGTAGTGTAGAATGTAAAAATACCCTGAGATAATTACAGGGGTGAACTTGCGTGTAGTGTAGAATGTAAAAATACCCTGAGATAATTACAGGGGTGAACTTGCGTGTAGTGTAGAATGTAAAAATACCCTGAGATAATTACAGGGGTGAACTTGCGTGTAGTGTAGAATGTAAAAATACCCTGAGATAATTACAGGGGTGAACTTGCGTGTAGTGTAGAATGTAAAAATACCCTGAGATAATTACAGGGGTGAACTTGCGTGTAGTGTAGAATGTAAAAATACCCTGAGATAATTACAGGGGTGAACTTGCGTGTAGTGTAGAATGTAAAAATACCCTGAGATAATTACAGGGGTGAACTTGCGTGTAGTGTAGAATGTAAAAATACCCTGAGATAATTACAGGGGTGAACTTGCGTGTAGTGTAGAATGTAAAAATACCCTGAGATAATTACAGGGGTGAACTTGCGTGTAGTGTAGAATGTAAAAATACCCTGAGATAATTACAGGGGTGAACTTGCGTGTAGTGTAGAATGTAAAAATACCCTGAGATAATTACAGGGGTGAACTTGCGTGTAGTGTAGAATGTAAAAATACCCTGAGATAATTACAGGGGTGAACTTGCGTGTAGTGTAGAATGTAAAAATACCCTGAGATAATTACAGGGGTGAACTTGCGTGTAGTGTAGAATGTAAAAATACCCTGAGATAATTACAGGGGTGAACTTGCGTGTAGTGTAGAATGTAAAAATACCCTGAGATAATTACAGGGGTGAACTTGCGTGTAGTGTAGAATGTAAAAATACCCTGAGATAATTACAGGGGTGAACTTGCGTGTAGTGTAGAATGTAAAAATACCCTGAGATAATTACAGGGGTGAACTTGCGTGTAGTGTAGAATGTAAAAATACCCTGAGATAATTACAGGGGTGAACTTGCGTGTAGTGTAGAATGTAAGTTCGGGGACAGGGTTGAACCAGAATTTAAGGTCTAGTGCGGAAAAGACCGTATTGTCTGCCCAGGCTCTCCCCTGGCGCATGTGCTGTTTTGGGAGATCCTTGAAGCGTTTAGGCAGATGGTGAGCGGGAGGGAAGAATGGGAGGAGCCGGTGCTCGGCTGTCGTGGTACTTTCTTACACACCTAGGTTTAATGCCGATTGCCACTTTGGGGCCAGGAAGGAATTTTCCTCCAGGCCAGATTGGCCCAGCAAGGCCCCCTCTAAGCTGTGGAGCCTTGCGAACAAAAATTCAATTTTGTCAGCTACAGGCATTAAAAGTTGTGAGCGAGCGAGCGATTTGGCTGATGCAGAAATCGGTTTGCTCTGCAGACGTCCTTCCTGAGCTAAGGCAAAAATGTGTGAGCCGGAGGCTAAAGAACTGTGAGCTGGCTCACACCAACTCAGCTTAGAGGGAACACTGGTCCCAGGGATCCTGGAGGTTTTTTGCCTTCCTCTGGGCATGGAGCAGGGGTCACTGCCGGAATAGGGGGGAAGGTAGTTGTGAACTTCCTGCATTGTGCAGGGAGTTGGACTAGATGACCCTTGGAAGAAAGGCTGAAGGAGCTGGGTATGTTTAGCCTGGAGAGGAGGCGACCGAGAGGTGATACGATCACCATCTTCAAGTACTTGAAGGGCTGCCCTATAGAGGATGGTGCGGAGTTGTTGTCTGTTGCCCCTGAAGGTCGGGCCAGAACCAAGGGGTTGAAACTGAATCAGAAGAGTTTTCGGCTAAACATTCGGAAGAACTTCCTGACAGAGCAGTTCCTCAGTGGAACAGCCTTCCTCGGGCGGTGGGTGGGCTCTCCTCCTTGGAAGGTTTTTAAGCAGAGGCTAGATGGCCATCTGATAGCCGTACTGATTCTGTGACCTTAGGCAGATCACGAGAGGGAGGGCAGGAAGGGATGCCTCAGTGCTTAGTGCTCAGTGCTTAGAGTCAGTGTGGTGTAGTGGTTAAGCGCGCGGACTCTAATCTGGGAGAACCGGGTTTGATTCCCCACTCGTCCACTTGCACCTGGCTGGATGACCTTGGGCAAGCCGTAGTTCTGTCAAGAGCTCTCTCAGCCCCACCTGCCTCACAGGGTGTTGTGGGGAGGGGAAGGGAAAGGAGTTTGTAAACCGCTCTGAGATGCCTTTGGGTAGTGAAGGGCGGGGTATAAATCCAATCTCTTCTTCTTTTACCTCACAGGGTGTCTGTTGTGGGGAGGGGAGGGGAAAGGAGTTTGTAAGCCACTCTGAGACGCCTTTGGGTAGTGAAGGGCGGGGTATAAATCCAATTTCTTCTTCTTCTTTTACCTCACAGGGTGTCTGTTGTGGGGAGGGGAAGGGAAAGAAGTTTGTAAGCCGCCCTGAGACTCCTTTGGGTAGTGAAGGGTAGGGTATAAATCCAATCTCTTCTTCTTTTACCTCACAGGGTGTCTGTTGTGGGGAGGGGAGGGGAAAGGAGTTTGTGAGCCGCTCTGAGACACCTTTGGGTAGTGAAGGGCGGGGTATAAATCCAATCTCCTCTTCTTAATGGATACCTGTTTGGGGTAGTGGTTAAGTGCGCGGACTCTAATCTGGGAGAACCGGGTTTGATTCCCCACTCCTCCACTTGCAGCTGCTGAATGACCTTGGGCAAGCCATAGTTCTGTTAGAACTGTCCTCTCAAGGACAGTTCTGGAAAGAGCTCTCTCAGCCCCGCCTACCTCACAGGCAATGCTCCCTCTAAGCTGTGGAGTCTCGTGAGCAGAAATTCTACTTTGTGAGCTACTGGCATTAAAGTTGTGAGCCAACGAACTGGCTACTGCATGAATTAGTTTGCTCTAGAGCCATCCCTTCCTGAGCTAAGATAAAAACGTGTGAGCCAGAGGCTACAAAACAAAGCTAGCTCACACTAACTCAGCTTAGAGGGAACACTGCTCACAGGGTATCTGTTGTGGGGAGGGGAAGGATTGTGTAAGCCGCTCTGAGAGTCTCAGTGAAGGGCGGGGTTTAAATCCAATTTCTTCTTCTTCTCCTCCTCCTCCTCCTCCTCCTCCTTTTTATTTGTGTCTCTTGTTAAAGCGTTTCTTTTTATCAGTCCTAAGTATAGCACCAAAGGGCTTCTGTGAAGATTCTCCATTCGTAGTCCAATGCTGTAACTGACCCTGCCTCCTTCTCCCTGCAGAAAGAGCGTTTCTACGAGAAGAAGCACCGTCTCCCGGAGCCGTCTTTCAAAGAGCTCGCCACCTTGATCAGCCAGTGCCTCAACTACGCTCCCGAGGAGCGGCCGTCCTTCCGAACCATCTTGCGGGACCTCACCCAGCTGCAGCCAAACAGTAAGGGCCATAAATGTACGAGAGATCGCAGGGAAAGCCGTTAAGAACAACTGAAACACAGCCGTGATATGATTACTCGGCGTAGCGTCGTATAGTCAATTATATTGTTTACCAAGCGTGTTCATACAAACATTTACATGCAAAGGGTATAACAGATAAATGTTTTCAATAAATAAAGCACTTGTACCACAGTTCAGTTCTAATTTTTTCCTTATCGGAAATAATTAGAGCTGAACTGAATTATATTTTACAGTTCCGCAGGGCCTGCAAGACGGAGCTCTTCCATCAGGCCTTTGGTTAGGGAGCCGCAATAATGAAAGAGTCGGGTCTGTTTAGCCTGGGAAAGAGAAGGCTTAGAGGGGACAGGATTGCAGTCTCCAAATATTGGAAGGGCTGTCGTGTAGAAGATGGAGCGGATCCATTCCCTTTCGCTCCGGATTGCAAGACTAACAGGTGGAAATGACAAGGGAGTCGATACCGGCTAAATATCAGGCTAAACGTCCTAACTTTCAGAGTGGTTGAGGAGTGGAACAGACTGCCTCGGGAGGTGGTGGAGGCTCGTCCGCTGGACGTTCTCAAGCGGAGGCCGAACGGCCATCTTTCGGGTGTGTTTTCGGGCTCTCTTTCGGCTCTGCTCCTGCAGAGTGCAGGGGTCTGGACTAGAGGACCCTTCCAACTCTGGTCTGCAGTAGAAAAGCTCTATTTGAGGCCGGCTACGCCTTAGAGACCAACATGCTGGATAATCCGCTGCCTCTCGGCTCTTTCTCTTGTCTTCCAGATCTCCTTGACATCACCGCTGTCGGCCCCGTCTGCCCCGTGTCCGACCCGACCGTCTTTCAGAAGCGGTACTTGAAGAAGATCCGAGATCTGGGAGAGGTAAAAGCGCTTTTGGCTTCCCCTGTTTTGTCAGTGACACTAGTGCATCGGTGGGCACCGTTGTTCCCTCCAAGCTGAGTGTCAGACTCCCACAGCAGTCAGCCTCAGCAACGTTCCTCCAAAAGGATCAGGTTTATTGAAGACAGTAAAGGCAGGTCACCTGCCGTGCTCCCTCTAAGCTGAGTCAGCGTGAGCCAGCTCACAGATTTTTTTGGCCTCCGGCTCACCCATTTGTGTCTTAGCCCAGGAAGGATGGGGCTCCAGAACGAACGAATTTATGCAGCAGCCGAATCGCTCGCTCCCAACTTTAATGCCCAGTAGGTCACAAAGCACTAAGCGAAATGCTGGCCTGGATGAATCACAAGCGGGAATTAAGATTGCTGGGGAAAAGATCAACAACCTCAGATATGCCGACGATACCACTCTAATGGCACCTAAAGAGCCTCTTGCTCAGAGTAAAAGAGGAGAGCGCAAAAGTGGACTTGAAGCTCAACATCGAAAAAACTAAGATCATGGCATATGTATATATACACACACACACACACATATACATATGTATATGTATGTAAGTGAACGTTAAAACCCCCATTGTAACGTAAGGCTTAACAATCAAATTTTTAGATTTAGATCACGTCAGGTAAATGCAAAAATGTAGGGTGATTACTTTCATCCAATAGAAGGGTGATAGAAGGGTGTCTCCAGTCTTCCTAGGAATTGTCTTGTTTCAATTGGGCTGTAAGTTTTCCATAATTAAAAAGTCCCACATTTTTTGAGACCATAATGTGACAGTTCCCAAACAGATGCAGGCAATCCTCCCTCTAAGCTGTGGAGTCTTGTGAGCAAAAATCCTACTTTGCGAGCTCCTGGCATTAGAGTTGTGAGCGAGCGATTTGGCTACTACATAAATTAGTTTGCCCTGGAGCCCTCCTTCCTGAGCTAAGACAAAAAGGTGTGAGCCGGAGGCTAAAAGACTGTGAGCTAGCTCACACTAACTCGGCTTAGAGGGAACACTGGATGCAGGTAGAGGTCTGCCTTCTGCAGCATCCAATCCCTGACTTTGGTTTCCTTGCTCGCTTCGCTAGGGTCACTTCGGCAAGGTGAGCCTGTACTGCTACGATCCCACCAACGACGGCACGGGCGAGATGGTGGCCGTGAAGTCCTTGAAGTCAGGCTGCAGCCTGCAGCTCTTGGCCAGCTGGAAGAAGGAGATTGAGATCCTGAAGACGCTCTACCACGAAAACATTGTCAAATACAAGGGCTGCTGCAGCGAGCAAGGTACGGGCACTCCACCCTTGGTGCTGATGGGGGAGGGAGACATGGCCGATCTCTTCTTTGTTGCAAGCCTTCTGCCCCACGTTCTGCCCACCGAGGATGATCAGAGAAAATATCTGAGGCTTTTCTGGCTCTGTGTCCACCTCTGCCTCCTTCTCTGCTTCCACCTATCTCTCTGGCTCCGCCTCCCTCTCTTCCTCTGCCTCACTTTCTGCCTCCCCGTATCTTTCTGGCTCCGTCTCCCTTTCCAGCTCTCCCTCCCTCTCTACCTCTGCCTCCCTTTCCGCATCCCTTTCTGGCTCTGGCTCCCTTTCCGGCTCTGCCTCCCTCTCTACCTCTGCCTCCCTTTCCACTTCCCTTTCTGGCTCCATCTCCCTGTCTTCCTCTGCCTCCCTTTCTGCTTCCCTTTCTGGCTCTGTCTCCCTTTCTGGCTCTGCCTCCCTCTCTACCTCTGCCTCCCTTTCCACTTCCTTTTCTGGCTCTTCCTCCCTTTCCGGCTCTGCCTCCCTCTCTACCTCTGCCTCCCTTTCCGTTTCCCTTTCTGGCTCCGTCTCCCTCTCTTCCTCTGCCTCCCTTTCCGCTTCCCTTTCTGGCTCCGTCTCCCTCTCTACCTCTGCCTCCCTTTCTGCTTCCCTTTCTGGTTCCGTCTCCCTTTCCGGCTCTGCCTCCTTCTCTACCTCTGCCTCCCTCTCTACCTCTGCCTCCCTTTCTGCTTCCCTTTCTGGTTCCGTCTCCCTTTCCGGCTCTGCCTCCCTCTCTGCCTCCACCTTTCTCTCTGCCTCCACCTCCCTTTCTGGCTCCACCCCCCTCTCTGCCTCCCCCTCTTTCTCCCTCTCTCTGAGGTGCTCTAGGTCCCTTTTGGAGAAGCGGGAAGGTCAGGCAGAAGAGTCTCAGGTACAAATTTAAATCTCTCCCATTTCCAGGGGAAAAGGTGGTGCAGCTCATCATGGAGTATGTCCCCCTGGGGAGCCTCCGGGATTACCTTCCGAAGCACCACGTCAGCCTGGCCCACATTCTCCTCTTTGCCCAGCAGATCTGTGAGGTAAGCCTCAGATGCCTTCGGGTGCCCAATCCGTGCACCGAAAGGTTTTCATTTCCTGGGAGTGGGAACGGTGTGAACTTATCGTGGGGGTGGGGGTGGGGGTGTGCTGGTTTCCCTCCTCTCCTGTTCTGAGAGGGGCAACGTGTCCTTTCAACTGGAGGCTGAGAGTCAGGGTGGCTGAACCTCTCTGACCCCTCAGCGGCTGGCCGTTTGGGCCTCCTTTTTTTCTCTTTTTGAATTTTAAATATGAACAGCAGTTTGAAGAACGGTTAAATTCAGCAACAAAACATTGGTAGAACAATTTTGGACAGTAATCAAAGAATTCTAGGCTGTTATTTAACAAACAGATAAAATAAAAGCATAACTATGAGATACACTTCTAAATAAAATATAACGTTGAAACGAACACGAACTCCACGACAGGGTAATTAGTAAAATTAGAATATCGCTATGATTTTGGGCCTTCTTTTTTCTTTCTTTGAATTTTAAATACTTTGTTTATTTACAGCTTTTAACATTGTAACAGCAGTTTGAAGAACGGTTAAATTCAGCAATAAAACATTGGTAGAACAATTTTGGACAATCACCAAAGAGTTCTAGGCTGCTACTTAACAAACAGATAAAATAAAAGCATAACTATGACATACATACACTTCTAAATAAAATATAACATTGAAACGAACATGAACTCTATGTCAGGATAATTAGTAAAATTAGAATATCGCTATGATTTTGGGCCTTCTTTTTTCTTTCTTTGAATTTTAAATACTTTATTTATTTATAGCTTTTAACATTGTAACAGCAATTTGAAGAACGGTTAAATTCAGCAATAAAACATTGGTAGAACAATTTTGGACAATAACCAAAGAATTCTAGGCTGCTACTTAACAAACAGATAAAATAAAAGCATGACATACATACACTTCTAAATAAAATATAACATTGAAACGAACACGAACTCAATATCAGGGTAATTAGTAACATTAGAATATCGCTATGATCTCCTTGTACCGTTGAGGTATAGATGACATAGGGACAAATGGATTTCAACAAAGAAGCCTCAATATAAGAAACGCCTGGGTCTTCTCCACTGAGGAAGCCGGGTGCTGCTAACCCTGTGTTTTGCTCTTGGCAGGGGATGGCGTACCTCCACTCCCTCCGCTACATCCACCGGGACCTAGCGGCCCGGAACGTGCTCCTCGAGAACGAGAACGTGGTCAAGATCGGAGACTTTGGCCTGGCCAAAGCCATCCCAGAAGGGCACGAGTACTACCGGGTGTGCGAAGACGGAGACAGCCCGGTCTTCTGGTAGGTCAGCAGTCGCAAGGACATCTCGGCACCTGAGGGGCGGGTGCTGGAAAGGGCTGTCAAGCTCACAGCTGACTGGTGGCAGTCCCGTGGGGTCTTCAAGGCAAGAGACAAACAAAGATGGTTTGCCGTTGCCTGCCTCTGCGTCGCAACCCTGGGCTTCCTTGGTGGGCTCCCATCCAGGTACCAATCAGAGCCGACCCTGCTTAGCTTCTGAGATCTGACGAGATTGGGCCAGCCGGGGCCATCCAGGTCAAGGCAAGAGATGTTCAGAGGTGGTTTGCCATTGCCTGCCTCTGCGTAGCAACCCTGGACTTCCTTCATGGGCTCCCATCCGAGTACTATCCAGGGCCGACCCTGCTTAGCTTCCAAGATCTGATGTGATCGGGCTAGCCTGGGCCATCCAGGTCAAGGCAAGAGCTAGGCAGAGGTGGTTTTCCACTTGCCTGCCTCTGCGTAGCAACCCAGAACTTCCTTGGTGGACTCCCATCCAAATACCAACCAGGGCCGACCCTGCTTAGCTTCTGAGATCTGATGAGATCAGTCCAGCCTGGGCCATCCAGGTCAAGGCAAGAGATGTCCAGAGGTGGTTTGGCATGGCGTGCCTCTGCATAGCAACCCTGGGCTTCCTTCGTGGGCTCCCATCCGAGTACTGACCAGGGCTGATCCTAGTTAGCTTCTCAGATCTGACGAGATCAGGCTAGCCTGGGCCATCGAGGTCAAGGCAAGAGATGAACAGAGGTGGTGTGCCCTTGCCTGCCTCTGCCTAGCAACCCTGGACTTCCTGGGTGGTCTCTCCTCCAAGGACTAAGTAGGGCTGACCCTGCTTAGCTTCCAAGATCTGACAAGATCAGGATAGCCTGGGCCATCGAGGTCAAGGCAAGTGATGTCCAGAGGTGGTCTCCCACTGCCTGCCTCTGCGTAGCAACCCAGGACTTCCTTGGTGGTCCCCCATCCAAATACCAACCAGGGCCGACCCTGCTTAGCTTCTCAGACCTGATGAGATCGGGCTCGCCTGGGCCATCCAGGTGCGACTGCGGTGCCGTTCCTCCATAGGCTGGTTGTGAACTCAAAGCCGTCCCCAGCATAGTTCCCTCCAAGCTGCACTAGGGGGCGCTGGCGCAAAACATTTTGACAGGCTGCTGAGGAATTTCTGCTGTCTGCTCACAAGGCGTTTCCCCCCTCCATTGGAAACGGTGGAGGATGGGGGCACCTCCTCCTGGGGCCCATAGACTTGGACTCGGGGAGGTTTTTGAGGGGAGGTAGAATTTCTGCTCACGGCACCGTGGCGCTGAAAGGGGACTTTGCTCCCCAGTGCAGGAAATGCCGTTGGGTTTTTGCTCATTCTGTACGGGTTCTGGCCTTGAGGAGGAGACAAGCGAGAGAGGCGTTTTCTGAATACGGCAGCGTCCTCCAGTTCAAGCCAGAATCGAGGTCTCCAGCCGCGCTAAGGCCTCTCTGCTCTGGAACGGTTCTGCCCGTTCGCTCGACGTCTAACACCGAGGGGGAGCAGCATAACTGGCGTTCCCCCTCTTCTCTGAAGACGGATTCAGAGGGTAGCCGTGCTGGTCTGGGGCAGAAGAGTGAGGTTTGAGTCCGGGAGCACCTTGGAGAGCAGCAGTATTTTCAGGGGAGGAGCTTCTGAGAGTCCAATCTCCCTTCGTCAGATACAAGTCAGAGTGGAGACCTCCGAGTCTTTCTATCCATCCTGGCTCATATCCGATGGAGCTTTGATTCTCGAAAACTCCTGCCCCGGAAATCTTGTTGGTCTCTGTAACGATTCCATGTTTTGGTGTGTGAGTGTTCCTTTAAATGTTTAGTTTGAGTGCAGTAATATGAGAAGAGTGATAGAGGGTGACTAAGTGTGATTTGATTGGCTGCTGACTGAGAGTGTGGGAGGAGGGGTGTCCTGAGAGGAATCTGTTTCTGTGTCTATGAGGAGATTCGGTGATATGAGAGACACAAGTATGGAAGAGTTTTGAAGAGAGTCTGTGTGACTCTGAGAATTACTCTGAGTGACTCTGAGAGAGCCCACTCTGCGGGGAGGGTGGGGTATAAATCTTAATAAATTAAAAACAAAATTATGAAGGATTCAGTGTGTGAAGTTTGAAGAGTGAACATAGTCTGTGTGATTATAGGATTTGGACTCTATTTCTGAGTGAATAAGACCAACAGTTTAGTCTGTGTGACTAAGAGAGTTGATTCCATTCTGTGTGAATAAAACAAAGAGACTAGCCTATGTGGCGATACATATCTATATAGATGAGAGTTAGAGAGAGATTATACTGAATGTATAAGCCTGTCAGAGTGGCGTTTGGCGTTTGAGAGACTGTTTGTAGCACCAAGCTTTGCCAGTTGTATTTACAAGTCCTTTTCTTCAGCAGCTGTTCAAAATAACCAGAAACCTATTTTGTTCTTTATTAAATAAATCAATTTTTGTTTAAACTTAACCCAGAAATCAGAGTAGTCCTTCCTCAGGGCCACATAGTCCTCTGAAATGCCCACATCCTAGGTCATTCCACCAAAAGAAAGAGATTTGGAATTTAATTCCTGGTGGCAGCAGAAATCTACCAGGTTTTATGTACACAGAGAATGTTTAAAGGTAAAACAGTCCCCGCAATACGCAAGGATGCCACAGGCTGTGTGGCTATATAGATGAGAGGGAGAGAGAGATTATACTGTCTATGCCTGTCAAAGTGGAGTTTTGGGAGTTTGAGAGACTGCTTGTGACACCAAGCTTTGCCAGTTATATTTACAAGTTCCTTTCATCAGCAACAGTTCAAAATACCCAGAAACCTATTCTTTTCTTTAATAAAGAAATCATTATTTGTTTAAACTTATCCCAGAAATCAGAATAGTCTTTCCTCAGGGCCACATAGTCCTCTGAAGTGCCCAGACCCTGGGTCATTTTACCAAAAGAGAGAGATTTGGAATTTTTAATTCCTGTTGGCAGCAGAAAACTACCAAGTTTAGGTACACAGAGAGTGTTTTAAAGGTAAAAGCGTCTCCCCAATAAGCGAGGATGCCACAGTCTCTAAGGTGCTTCTGGACTCAGATCTAACTTTCCCTCCTCTAGTAACAGGAGCAGATGATAGCAGTTGCTCAAACTGGCCGCTGTGTGAGACGGGGATGCTGGACTAAATGGACCGCGGGTCTGATCTAGCAGGGCTCCTTTTCTCCCATGCAGAAAGGCAAGTCCCACCCTTCGAACTTGTACTCAGCCGCTCTTTGTCCCTCTTCCCTTTGTGCCGCAGGTATGCCATGGAGTGCCTGAAGGAGTGCAAGTTTTACTACGCCTCCGACGTCTGGTCCTTTGGGGTGACCTTGTACGAGCTCTTGACACACTGCGATCCTAGTCAGAGCCCCCCAACGGTGAGTCCCGTGACTTGGGGGTATTGGTGGGTGAGAACGTTTTTGCAGCTGTGGACGTGGCTAAGCCAAGAGGTCCCAGGCTCAACCCCAGGTTCTCCAGTTAAAAGGACCATGCAGGAGGTGATGGGAAAGACCTTGACCTGAAACCCTGGCTCAGTGGCAGAGCCTCTGCTTGGCCTGCAGAAGGTCCCAGGTTCAGTCCCTGGCATCCCCAGTTAAAAGGACCAGGCAGGAGGTGATGGGAAAGACCTTGACCTGAAACCCTGGCTCAGTGGCAGAGCCTCTGCTTGGCCTGCAGAAGGTCCCAGGTTCAGTCCCTGGCATCCCCAGTTAAAAGGACCAGGCAGGAGGTGATGGGAAAGACCTTGACCTGAAACCCTGGCTCAGTGGCAGAGCCTCTGCTTGGCCTGCAGAAGGTCCCAGGTTCAGTCCCTGGCATCCCCAGTTAAAAGGACCAGGCAGGAGGTGATGGGAAAGACCTTGACCTGAAACCCTGGCTCAGTGGCAGAGCCTCTGCTTGGCCTGCAGAAGGTCCCAGGTTCAGTCCCTGGCATCCCCAGTTAAAAGGACCAGGCAGGAGGTGATGGGAAAGACCTTGACCTGAAACCCTGGCTCAGTGGCAGAGCCTCTGCTTGGCCTGCAGAAGGTCCCAGGTTCAGTCCCTGGCATCCCCAGTTAAAAGGACCAGGCAGGAGGTGATGGGGAAGACCTCCGCCTGAGACCCCGGAGAGCGGCTGCCAGTCTGAGTAGACAATCGTGACCTTGATGGACTGAGGGCCTGATTCAGTGGACGGCAGCTTCATTTGTATTCATGTCTGTGTCGTGCATTCGGCATTGTGGGCTTCCCATGGGACATGCAACAGTGTTTTAAAAAAACACTCTGCCCTTTCCTGGTATGCTTTCTTTTCTTTTCTTTTTCCTGCTTGCCCATTGTTGGTGGGCAAGGTTTATTAGTTTTTAAAAGAGTTATATAAAACAAAACAAAAAAAGAGAGCCATACACTTCAAAGGTATCCAGCCATTGCCTCGTTCATAACATCTTTAGAGACATAATTCCCTTTTTCCCTTTGTTCATCTATAGTCCACAACAGATGACATTAAGTAAAATTCCCAATAAACAGTTCATTTTTTCCTGTATCCTACCTGCTATTACTATTATTAATCAGTTTTATAACAATAAAAAATAGAAAAATATATAAAAGAAAAAAAAACCCCACGGGTATATCACAGCAGTTAGACAGTTTAAATTTCTGATATAATTTCAATCTAGTCCCTGTGCTTTCCGCACTCCTGAGTGGACGAAGCAGCGTCCCGTCAGAAATACAAGGAACTCCAACCTGCCTGTGCATCTGGAGCGCTCGCTTTCCAGAGGAAGACTCTTATTACGGAGACCAGGCCTCCATGG